CCCCGCCTCATCTGCTCCGCCGCCGCCGCCGCCCCGCCGGGGGCTGTCCCGCCCCCCGGGCGGGGCGGGGGAGGGGGCACGGGGGGGCCCGGGCTCCGCGCGCGCGCGCGCTGCAGCCCCGCCCGGACCCGCGCCTCCCCTCGGGCGTGGGAAGCGCCCTGCGCGCTCCCGCCCGGCCCCGGGGGCTCCGTGCAGGACGGTCGCCGCTGGCGAGCGATGCGGGTGCACGCGCCGCTCTTGCGACGCTCCCCGCGCGCGTCCCGTGCAGGCGTCCCATCATCCCCGGCCGGCACGGGCATGAGCAGCCGTGCCCGAAGGTGTGGCGCCGCTAGATCCGCCAGGGCCCCGCGGGCGCCGGGCGCGGGGTGGCCGAAGCAGGCCGCCCAGCGCCCCGGGCTGGCGGGGCGAGGGCGATGCTCCCCAGGCCCCGGGGCGCGCCTGCCGCCCGGAGGCCCTTCAGCGGGCTGGGGGGCCTGGGGGCTTGACCAGCCAGCGCCATTTTGCAACGGAGGCAAAATGGGGGGACCCCATGCCGGGGAGCCGAGCAGCTTCAGCCCGGGCATCTCGGCCGAGGGGCTCTGGCCCAGGTGCTGGCGGAGGCCTTTGCCTGAGCAACCGGCCGAGAGGGACACGATCCGAGATGGGCCTTCGGTTTAGCTTGGCTTCCCAGCCCCCGTTTGTTTCTTAGCGATCGCTGTACGACGGTCCCGAGTTTTTGTATGTTTGAGAGAAGGGTGATCTTTCTACTTTTTTAAATCACCGGAGGCTTTATCACCTGCCATGTTCCCCTACACCCACCCACCGGGCTTTTCGAGCCATAGGGCTTAAAGTAGCTTGATAGCGTTGTTTTTTGCAGCGTGGTCACAATTGAATTTAGAAAGCCATGGGTGGAGTAGAACCGGTTCCTGCTCTGCATCTTCAGCTTTAGTACAATTCTTTGGGGATCAAAAACGTAATTAATAATATCTCCCACAGGCAGTGCTTGGAGAGGAGCGGGAGAGCCAAAGTGTAGATGATTGGTGTCTACGTTAGAGGAGGAGCACTGCCTGGAAATGAGATTCTCCACTCAACCTGGACTGGGGAGGAGGGCTTGCCGGGAATTCGTCTGGCAGAGGACGACGACGCAGGGAAGAAGAATCCATTACAACAAATCAACTTCAGAAAGGCCGACTGACCGTTCCCTGCTGTCCCACCCGCTCTGCTGCGCTGATGCGCGCCATATATAAAACGGAGTGCTGGCAATTGGCACGCAGTCATCTTAAAGGACGGATGGCGAGCCAGGTGTCTGCAGTCGTTCGGGGAGCAGGCTGGTATTAATAGCCGCACTATGGAGAAGGGATCGATACAGGATCAGGCCAGGGAGGCCAGGTTTCCCCAAGAGGGTGTCCTTGCCCACTCCCAAATCTAAGTGCAGTCATTTGCACGCACCTGATGAAGTGGGTACTGCTTACAAAAGCTGATGCTGGCAAAATGTGTTAGCCCAGAAGGTACCAAGAAAATGATCTGCTGCAGGAGGAAAGCGATAGTCTTAACATCCAGGCCTCTGTCTACATCGTGGGAAATGGATCAAAATTATGCCCCTCCACACACACACTGGCTGCATTTTGCATTGGTTGGCCAGTCCAGAGGAGGGAAAGTTACATGCAAGGCCCTGGCCTGCCCTAACAACTCCCAGCTTCTGAAACTCCGGCCAGCTCTGGCCACACACTGTCAAACCATTTCAAGGGCTACAAGCTCGAGCCCTGTTTCCAAATGAAAATGACACACCTCTTTTCAATATATTCCATTTATTCTTTTTTCATTACAGCGCTGTTAAAGACAAAATCATTAGCACAGAAGTCCTCTCCTCTCTACAATCACAGTGTCATCTGTCAATGTTCAGTTAGGTTTTCCTCCAATCCCTGGGTTAGTTTTCAATCACAGAGGCTCATGTTAAAAAAAAAAAAAAAAATCCCTGAAGACTTAAATTATAATAAGACAATTGATCACCATGGTTGTGTGTTCAATCACGCAGGACACGTCATTAGATGCTGCCAACTGGACAAAAATACTGTATGAGGTGCAATCACAGGAGCGAACCCTCGAGCCGAGGGCGCCTAAAAGATGCTGGAAGATGCTCCACTGGGTCAACGAGCTGCAGGTGCAGAGGAGACGACATGCCTCCCAGGTTACATCTGCCGACAGGAGTCACTTCTGTTCTGAGGCAGTCCAGCTCCGAAGGCCAGTTGCTGGGCTGGGGCTGCTTTACGCCCTGGGAGTGAGCTTCCCAGAGGTCGCTGCCTGGCTACTGAACAAGACAAAGCGCTGCTCTGGCCTGGCTCTTGTGATGTGGAAGCATCTGTCGTGGCTGTTGGCCCAGAGGCCAGAAACCAGACCCTTGGATGCAGACCCAAGCAGCAGCACATCTCTGCTCGCAGTCATGGAGGCCAAGTGGTTCGGATTTTGACAAACACGCAGAAAAGCAGATTAAAAATGTGCCGGAGCTGGCACATGCCTGCATCTTTCTAGAAGCTGCTAAGCTCATGGCACAATCCGATGCGTGTTCAGAGGGAACGAGGCCTGCAGGCAGCCTAAGGAGGCTGGTGCACTTGGCTTGCAATCCCTCCACCTGCCCTTTGCCTTCCAGGGCTTTTTGCACTGCACTGCACGACCCAACCCAATAGCAAGGGGACAGAAACGGTTTCCAAAGCACCAGAAGGAATGGCAAGGAGCCAGCCTTCTGCAGCCTGGTGGTGGAGCCGCAGCCAACACCTGTGGAGCACACCAGGCCGGAAGAAGGTTGAAAGAGTCCAGACAAATGCAAGTGCTGGAGCTTGGCCAATTCAGGAAGCCCCCGATCGGCTGAGCAGTTGAAAAACTAGAGCGGTGAAAGTGAATCTTTGAAGACCAGAATCCCCTCGTGACCATTTCAGCTCGGTAGATCAGAGACGGGCAGCAGATGAATCGGTTTCTTCTGAGAGCTCTCCCGATGACTTGCTGGAGATGTGCTGATATTTCCATTGTCCAGCAGCAGCACCAATGTGACTTCCTCCCCGCCCACACACACACACACATTATACAGCTCAAATGGAAAAAGCCCGGAGGAACGCCTGAGCTGCACTCTCTCCCGCTGCGCTGCTTCTGCACAGGCGCCAGTGCTGGATCTCTGCAGTCCCGTAAAAATTGCTCGAGCCCGCAGCCTGCCCACCTCTGCTGCACGTTCCAGTCGGGCTGCTCTCCAGAGGCCGAGAGCTTCAGCTCCCCTGCCAATGCGCCCAGTGGCCAGGCATTCTGGGAGCTGAAGTCCAACCCGCCCAGAGATCTCCCAAGACTCACGCTACGTTTGTGCACCCTGTTTTCCACACCGGTTCTGACCTTGCTTGGGTAATGGGCACGTCTATACATCTGCAGGTCCTTCTGGGGTCCCGCAAATTGTTTCCGTGACATGCAAGGGACCCTCTTTTTGCAGGTCCTTGCAACCAGAAAGTTTCTCTCTAGCCTACCTCTCTCCTCGCATCATTTTCTATACGCACCACCAGACAGCTTCGGCTTCCAGTTACATTTCTCCGGTAACCCACATTTGACCTGTGGGAAGAGGGACCCCGAGTGCCTGCCTGCCTTCTGCTGGCTTGGAAGCTGCTGAGATGCCACCAGCCACAGCAGCAGGTCGTGCTGGAGCTCAGGGGAGGGAAAGGGCAACACGGACAGATCTCAGAAGCCCTTTGGACGGGCTCTGGGGAGAGCAAGGCAGCAACGCATGAGGACTGCAAAAGTCCGGGGCACGGTGCAGCTGTTTTCAGCCTCTGAGAAGGTACAGCTCAGGAGAGGGGCCAGCAGGCGAGACATCCAACACCAGAGGAAACCAGGCACGGGCGAAAGCAGCAACAGCACGGCTCGGGGCGAAGAAGTCAAATGCACACACACAGCCACGGGTTTACTCTCCCACTGAGATAATTTTATATGCAATCATTTCAGATAAAAACCCTCGCCACAAAGTGAGGTGCCGCGGCAGCAGTAAGGCCATCCCACAGGCAGGAAAGACCAGAAGAGGCTCAGTGGCGCTGGGCCTGTGACTCCCGCAGCTGAAGGGAGCTGGCCCCACAGTCGCCCGGCAAGGGCCCCTCGGCCCGGTCGGACTCGGAGCGGCTGGCTCGGCCACCCTCCTCCTCCCGCCACATTACTGCTCTGTGACATGGATGACGGTCTCGCCCCCCTCTTCCGGGAGCTGAGGCACGGCATAGACCAGCGCCTGGTCGCTGTCCTGGCAGATAATGGCCACGGCCCCGCCGCTCTCGGGCATGATAGTGCTAGACTGCAGGCAGGCCTGGGGGCAAGAACAGAAGGGGTGTTAAAGGCCCTGGCAACTCTGGGTGGCGGCGCTGCGGGGCAGACGGGGCGCAGGGGCGGCTGCGAGGGGCCACGTGCGCCTCTCCAGCCAACCCGGCAGCCCACGTCGCGTCGCCTCCTTCGCTGCGAACGCCGCCTCAAAACCCGCCTTCTCTCTGACCCCACGCGCTCCGCCCCTCGGCTTTTGTCGGCTTGCTGCATTTCTGCACCACCTCAAGCCAGAGCCCTCTGGGTGGCTCACAGACACAAAACTGCAGAGTGCAGCATGGTGAACGCGCCACCCCCCGCAACAGGAACCGAGGCAAAATGCAAGTCACTGCATTCACTTCCTGGGGCTTCTGCTTCTGCCACTCCATCCTTTCCCTTCTGCTCTTCCCTACCCAGACGGAAACCTAACCTAGCGTCGCTTTTTCAAGCCAAATATACGCCCACGGGGCTCTAGGTAAGGCTGCTGCTTGTGGAAGCTCCACTCCCTTGACCTCTGGAGGCTTCCTGTCTCCAGGCACCAAGATCCCCAGCTCAGGCTTCCTATTTGCTCCTCAGACTTTCTCCCATACCCACGACTAAGGTTCTCTGACCAGACGCCGCGCCCCATGCTGGCGCGGAGGAGCCACCCCTCCCTCCGCAGAGCCAACTTACCATCTCCAAGAGCTTCAGCTTCTCTTCCGACACCAGGTTCTCCTTCCTGAGTTGCTCCACCACCCCCTCCATGGCCTCCAGCTTGGCACAGTGCCGGCGGTGCCGCTGCTGGAGCACCTTCACCTTCCTCTGGAGGCCCATCACCACCTCCACCAGCTCTGCTGCCGTGCCCTCGCTCTTGTGGTAGCTGTGCTCCTCCAGCTGCTCGTCCAGAGACTCCGCAGAGCTCAGCTCCTCCAGCTTCAGCTCCTCGGTCGGGGATGCCTCCGGAGACATCTGGTTGGAGACGATGGGCACGGTGGACACGATGGGGAGGCTGAGGGCAGAGGAGAGCAGGGTCTCCGGGGGAGTCACGCCGGATGAGGCGGCGGCCGCAGGCGCCGTTGGGATCGTCTCGAAGTAGGCCACCATCTCTGTGGGAGGCTCCTGCAGGGAGTTCATGACGGCGGCGGCGGAGGGGCCCGCCTCCAGGAATGGCTCGATGGAGACTTTCTCGAGGATCAGGGCGCCCTGCTCCGCCGCCGGTCGCTCGGCCACCAGGGCCTGCAGCGGCACCACCTCGCAGGGCATTGCGACTTCCGGGCAGAGCTGGCCGGAGCCATCGGCAGGAGAGCTCGGGGCTGCTTCCAGGGCCGGCGGCGGGAGCGAGGCCACCAAATCAACCCGCTGCTGCTCCACCGCGTCCGGCAGTGGCTGGGCCGGGCCGGGCTCCACCGGGGAAGCGACTGTCAGTGTCACGGCCTTGAGTGGCTCCATGATTTGGACCAGAGGTACCAGGTTCACAGCCCCAACAAGGGGGCCGGAGAGGGCATGGAAGCTGAGGTCGGAGGCAGGGGGCTGGGTCTCCACATAGATGGGGGCGGCCGCCATGCTGGGGTCTATGGCTATGGCAAGGGTTTCCAGGGTGTCTGGCTCCCGGTGACCTATGGCTTGGGCAGCCGGCACACTCGTCTCTCCGCGGCACTCGAGGATCAGCTTCTTGGCCGGCACTTCCGTGGGGGGCCAGGCAGCAGTCTCCCTTTTCTGCAGTGACACAAACGGACCATCAATCCCCATCTTCCTCCACCAGGCAAAGCAGGTTGGCAACCTCTATGCATGGTAAGGAGGCAGGGCCGTCCCAAAGCCCTTTTCTCCTCAAGTGTCTCTCCACAAACACTCACCACGGGGCTTTCCGCTGTCCGGAAGATTGTGGGCACGGCGTCGGGCTTCAGGTAGCGCACTCCCCACCGGTACTCAAAACAGGAGGGTGCAAAGTGCTCGCTGCACAGGTGCTGATGTTTCGTTGGGAGCCACTTCTCCTGGTTCATCTGGGAAAGCCATTGCCGAAGACGCTCCGGGTTGTGCAGGGGAAACCTGTGTGGAGAACAGACATGGGGTGATTAATGGCAAATGCCAACAACGTCCGTGTGACCACGGAAACGCTCCATCCTCCCCATGAGTGTGCCTTCCCCAACAAGCCACAATTTGCCAGGTGGGAAAACGAGGAGGAGAGATCTGCTCTGGGGAAAAGGAGAACAGCTGAGTGATTCTACAGTACTCACCCAGACCCTTGCTCTCCAGTCCCACTCCAAACGTGAGATGGAATCTGGCAGTTTAGAGAATGCCAAATGCCACCACAGCTGTCCAAGAATTAATACGAAACCATATGAAGGCTGCCCCCAAAGGCCAGTTTTGAAAAAGCAGCCTCCTGCCAGCCCTCTGAAGGCCTCACACAGGTAAGTACACCTGCCCACATGTGAGAGCGCAGGCGGTTCCTTATGTAATACCGATAGCCTGTTTTTCTGTAAGAAGCAACACCCTAAATGGCTTGCCAACAACACAGCAGCCTTTCCCAACAGGAATCCCTCCGGATGTGTCGGAGTGCCATTCCCATATCTAGACACCAGGTCGGGAAAGGCTGCTGTGCTGCAGGTTTATGGGGATCTGAAAGATGCAAGCCCCGCACCACTCTCTCCTCATCATTTCCCATGTCCTCATACAAATTCATGATTCAGCCATACTTAGAATATTGTGTCCAGTTCCGGACGCCTCACTTGAATAGGGGCGTTACTGAAGTGGAAAAGTACAGCAGGGGGCTGGAGCAGCGCCCCCGTGAGGAACAGCTGGGGCTGCTCGGCTTAGAAAAGGGGCCAGGAAGGACAGTCAAGATGGGGAGGGGTAGAATAGTGCCCGGCACGGAGAGAGTCAAGAGGAAGCTGTGTTCCTCTGCCCCCAAAACTCTCAAACGGGGGAGCTCCACGGGGTCCCCCATGAAGCTCACTGGGGCAGGTCTAGGGCAGGCACTCTCTCGCGCAAGTGGGGCTGAGCGATGGGATTCGCTGCCTTGGGAAGCGGCGACAGCCACCAATCTGGGCGGCTTCGAAAGGGACTGGCCAGATTCATGGAAGAAGAGGCGACGAGCCCTGCCGGCCGCGTGGGCCCCCTTGACCAGACCGAGCGTGCCCGCAGGCCGCGGCTGCCGAGCCCGGGCGGGAGGCAGGCCCGCACCCGTCCTGCTGGGCGATCCTGCGGCGGCGCGCTCGCCACGTGTGTACGCGGCGCCCGGCTTCGGGTCAGACCCGGCAGGGCTTTCCTGGCGCTCCTGTGTCCCGCCGAGGGGCACGGGGCCCCGGCCCAGGCTGAATCCGGGGCGCGGGCAGAGGCGAGGGGGCCCCGCGGGGCGGCCGCTTTCCGGGCCCGGGCGGCGGGCGGCCCGCGCGGGGGGAGGGGGCTCGGGGGAGGCGCCCGCCGCGTGACGTCACGCCCCGCCGCGCGCCCCCCGCCCGGAAGTTCGCTGACTTGTAAAAGCTGAGGCGCTGGCTGTCCGGCCGCGGCTGCCCGGCCGAGTTGGAGCAGTGGGGCGCCCGGCAGTACTTGGTCATCGCGGCGACGCCGCCTCCCCGGGCCAACCGGCCCCGCCGCGCGACGGCCCCGCTGCTCGCGACGGGCACTCGCGGACGCCGAGCCTCCTCCCGCCGTCGCCGGCCCCTTCCTGATCCTTCCTGTTTTGCTTCGCCTTCGCCGGTGCCCCGACGCGCATGCGCGGCGAGAGGCGCTCACTTCCGGGGCGTGTCGGCTCCCATTCGCGGAGAGGCGGGACTATAGAGATAGGAAAGGTGCAGAGAGGACCGATGCTTCGAGTGACTAGGGCAAACGTTGTGGAGGTGGGTGGTGCCAAGATGACAGCTCCTGCCAGCCTGGCCCTAAATTTCCTAAGTTTTCCTAAAATGCCGCGCTTCTTCGCCTTCACAGATGTCGAAAATCGGGGCAGTAAAAAGCTTTACAGTTAGGGCAGCAATAAAATTGCTGCGCCACTGCAAGAGCAGCCATCCCGGGGACACGTGGGGCGGCGCCGGATGGGCCGCCGCCTTCTCATTGGCCGACTGCGGCGCCGCGCGCCGTGCGCCAGCAGGACTACCTCCCGTTCCCCGATTGGGCAAACGCGGCGGTGATTGGCATGATAAGCAGCGAATGGCAGGCGGCGGCGGTTTTCCGCGCGCAGTTTGGAAGCGGCGACGGTTGGCTGCGCCTTCTGAGGAGACGCGGCGCCGGCAAAGGAGCAGCGGCACCTCTCAGCCGGTGACGAGATGGCCGGCCGAGGCGGCGGCTTCTACCCGCGGGCGGCCACCGGCTCCGGCGCAGACTCGCCGCCGCTTCTCAGCCTGAGGCGGCGCTCGAAACACCAGGGGCCGGAGGAGGCGGTGAGGGGCGCGGCCAGCTCCCGGGCGGGGCCAGGGCGCCGGCGAGGGGGCGCGGCCAAAGCGGGCGTGTCCTGCCGACGTCACGCGACGTCACGGGGCGTGTGGCGATGCCGGCAGCCGGTCCCCCCCCCCCCCCATGCGAAGGGATGCTGGTAGTTGCAGTCCGGCAATCCGGCCGGGGGCGTCCCGCAAGCCATTTCCGTGTAGCTTCCGTACAGTCTGTTGCGCGTGTTCCTGCGTAACCGTGGAAGCTACGCCGGGCGCGGCCTGGCCGGCTTCTGGATGGGGGACTGAGACGCTGAGAGCCGCCCAGAGAGCTTCGGCTCCGGGCGGTATGGAAACGTAGTGCAGTGATCATCATAGTTTCTGAACGTGCCCGCTTGCAATCCCGAGTACAGGAGCAGATCCTGGTGTCTCCAAAGGGGTCAGGTCGAGCATTCAGAAAAGGTCGTGCTTTCTTTTCCGATCGTCTGCACAGCGACCTGGAATAGTACATACTAGCACATCAAGGACATGTGCGCGCAAACACAAGTTCTTGGCCAGCGGATGGAGCCATGGCACATCCCTCTAATGCTTGGGAACAAAGGAGGCTGCCATATACCAGATCAGTGGAAGCGGGATGCCGCCATGCACCATTTTGGGGGAACGCGAGTGGGAGGCGCTGTTGGCCTCAGCCTCTCAGTGGACAGAGTGCTGGATGAGGCGGACCAGCTGGACACTTCTCATGTTCTTCTCAGCTCAGTATTTTCAACACTGGCAGGCAGTGGCAGCTTTTCAAGCAGCGGTCCTTCCCAGGTCTAGCAAGGGATTCAGTGACTGAACTTAGGTCCTTCTACATGCAACATGGGGGTTTAAACAGGAGCAGTGCTGGGCAGAGAAATCATTCTGGGCTCAGGAAAAAAAAATACACATATTTGCATATGCTAGTTTGCCCTAAAGCTTGTGCCGGTGTGTGTATGAAGGGATCCTGTACCCCCGCCAAAAAAAAAAGATGCTTGGAAAGGAGGACATTTGATTTCATGAAAAAAGCTTCAGGCAGAATGATTCAAGTTGGGGAAGGCAGGAGATGACGCCCTTGTGAGCAAACAAACAAGAGGGGCCTGGACCTCTCTTTGAGCAAGTGCCCATGGCCACCAGAGTGCTTGGGCACGTGGCCTAAAGGCAAGAGGGGAAAATGCAGGTGTAAATGCAAAGTCACAGTAGTAGTAATAAAAATTTGGAGCTCCTAAAGAAAGATCGCTCCTGGGCTTTGGCACGGAGCTGTGGCTCCTGGGAAACTGACAGTGGGCCAGAGGACTATTTCCGATAGAGAGTGGATGAGCATGCTTCTTTCAGCGGGACTTTTCTGGCTATTTGCCGTGCTCCTCTTCTGGGGGCAGGGGTGTGAGCGCTGCCACCCGGCCCTTGTTCCTCAGGCTAATGGTGGAGACCGGCGAGGTTCAGCTCCGCAGCTCCAGGGCAACACCGAACAGCCCCGCAGCGGCCCTCCAACAGTTGGTACTCCGTGGCATACGGGTTTCGAACGCGAGGGCTCTGTGGAGCCACCGTGGGTTGTGGCATCTCTGTGTGAGTGGAAGACCAGGGAAACCCAACCCTGACCCTAAATCTCTGCTGCTTATGCAACAGTTAAAGAGGCAGGCATGAAAAGGAATCAGTAATGTACCAGAAGAACAGAAGCTGGGAGGGGTATGGACCACAGGGGCGGGGGGTGAACGCCTGCATTTCTCTTGCTTTTATATATAGATATCCTTTTGAGGACAATCTCCATTGTTTCATTGGCCAAGGCAGTAGTTCTGTGAAAACTGGCCTCACACTTGGTAACTGCTGGGATCTCTCTGTGCAAGTTCACATTATGCTGGGAAAGCATGACCTAGAATCTTAGAGCTGAATCAATGGTAGAGTTGGAAGGTGCCAAGAGGGCCATCAGGTCTGACCCTCTGCTTTTGCAGGGCAGCAATTTACACCCTCCCAGATGAATTCATACCGGCTAAGAGATTTTACTCCATTGTTTCTCCTTTGGGCAGGTTATGCTTGAGAAGGTGTTGGGAATAACTACTCAAACCAGCAGTGGCCTCGCTTGTGACCCAAACACGGGGCAGATAGCATATCCATCAGGGTAAGTGCTTTGCTGCAGCAGGCATAGCGGGAAAACTGGTGACAAGGTAGTCAGCAAAACAAGAGTGGGGAAAAAGAGCTTTGCCACTCATAGAAACAGGGAAAGTCAGAAGGGTCCTCCTGGGCCATCTAGTCTGACCCTTGGCTCTAGCCAGCTCCACTCACGACATGCCTACCATGTGCATGTCTAGCCTGTTCATTACAAGGGAAATGGAGGAGGAGGGGAAATACCCCTCAAGAAGCCCTCACTGGGTCCAGATGCACGGACTCTTGGAGAAGGCCAGTTTTCTTGATCCACCTCAGTCAGGGTCCGGGCCCGGTTTTGGCACTGGGACTGCTTTTGCTGCCCCGCGTGTCGGGAGCCCCTGTTGGTTCTTCTCAGCAGCTCCGCATTCAGTCAGTGCCCGTGCAGAACTGGCCTTGTCTGGGGCAGCCCCAGGTTTACAGAATGATTTCCCCGAGGAAGTTTGTTTGGCCCTTTTTTGGCACTAGGCCAAGATGTAGTCAATTTCTTTAGCATATGTACATCCTAATTATTCTAGGGTGCTTTCCGGATGTTCATTCTAGGCTATGAATGGGGGTAGATTGTGTATGTATGTGACGGAGCACTTTTCATATGGGTTTGATTTTAGATTAGGGTTTCCGTGGTTCCCCCCACCCAGTTCGCATCACGGTACTCATGGATTTCTGTGCTGGGTGTACGAGTCGCTTTGAAATGGCTTTCTGCAGCAGGAGCAGTGCATTAAAGACCAAATAGATAGATCAACGTAGCAGCCAGTGGAACCTTCAAGCAGCAGCTGCTAATTCACGTGCAGGCCCCCTATTCCGCCTGCCTGGCCAGCTGTTCCTCTGCCAACAGTGTTGCCTCAGAGAAGAAGACTCTGTGGCCTGCTGCCAGTCACCGTGTGTGGACTTAACGTTAGCCCCTGGTCGAGTGTCATCAGAAGAAACTTGGCCCTCGGCCTTGCATCTTCCTCCTTTCCTGCCTCTCCAAGCTGCAACTGGAAGGATTTGCTTCTGTTCTTCCCATCACACACTGTATAGTTGCCCAAACTGGAATTATGTGTGGTATTTAAACAAGACAGAGCTGTAAACCAGCTTGAACCAGCAACTGTGGACAAATCATTGTTAAAACTAACCATGCTTTGCCCTGGAACAAAGCAGTTGCAGTACTGGAGGTTCACCCAGCGCATTCCACTGGCGCTGACCTGTGGCTCAGGGTCGTGTCTGAGCACAGCCAAGGGAGGACAAGCCTAGCGGCAGCACTGCTGTGAATCTTCCTGTTGCCTGAGATCCTTTTCTTTCAACTCTACCATTTCTCCATCTGCCCAATGACAGGAAGCCTTCCTTGTATAAATGCCTTGTTCTTTCTTTCCAGGTGTGTAGTTGTGATTTTCAATCCTCAGAAGAATAAACAAAGACATATATTTAATACTTCTAGGTAATGTACATTTGAACCATCTTATCACTTCAGATAGTCCAAGTGGCAGCATTCATAAAATTGGTACTTGGATGTGGGTGGTTTACAAAGTGTGGCATGGCCCATGAATTCACAGAGCATGTAGTCTGTGGTTTTAATTACTGAGTTGATTGGTTTAAAAATGTGACGTTTTAATTAGAACAATAACATTTGCTGATGCATCGTGTGATAGTACGAAAATGACTTTCAAGTGCCACTGGCGTACTTTTTGTAGTTTTCTTCCTGTAAAAACTAATTGTGGCCCAAGCTTTTATTCCCACTTTGTCCAAGGTGTGAAGTGATGGATTATGTTTCATACATCTGGAGAAGAGGGCTCCAGATTTAGCCCCAATAAGTTTGTATGTCATTCAGGTGTTGCAGGCATCATAGCAAAATGGCAGGCAAGCCCTACTTTTTCTCTGGAATTCATTTTTATAAGGAGAAAAATGGAAATGTTCTCTTTTGCTTTTAGGAAGACTGTGAGTGCTTTGTCTTTTTCCCCTGACGGGAAATATATTGTAACTGGTGAGGTGAGTTCTCGTTTTTATTATGGATTATACAAAGAATACAAAAGATTTAAATCACATTAGTGTAAAGTCACAATAAGTTGATGTTTTTCAAGTCTGTGTTTCTCCCTTATGGCAACATGGTAGAGTACTCCTGTAGTGGGAAGATCTGCTTCATATCCATATCATTTCAGCCCACCAGCCAGGAACTTCTTCCCATTTGCATCGAAAGCCACGTACAAAGAAGGCTGTGTGGCCTTAATCCTGGCAGCCACAGAGCATCCCAAACCACTGAACAAAGAGGTTAGGAATGGGACACCAATCCAACACATAGGTTTAGTTATGTATTGAATATATTTCCAGACTGTTGTCCACATTAAAAAAACAGCCATACTGAATTTTTGAGGGCCTTGGAAATAATTGGTCTTGCCCGTGTTCTCCTTGCCCTGGGTATTTCCACTCTGCCTCCTCTCACATCCTAAATGATTTTGCTCATGAGAGCCCACTCTAAAGAGGCACGGATGTGGAAGCACAAGCAAGGCTGGAGCATAAAGCCGCTGGAGTTACGGCTGGCTTCCAGCATCAGCCCTTCGCATCAGAGCACTGAGCTCACGGTGGCCAGGAACACCATGCCCCGTGATCCGAGAGTTCTTCCGCCCGCCCAAGGCACGTGGAGGCCAAGGAAGGGCACCTGAGGGATGGCCCCTGCGCAGCCCCTGGCCAAGCGTTATTCTTGGTCTTCCTCCTGCAGCATGGGCACAGGCCGGCCGTCCGCGTCTGGGACATAAGAGAGAAGGCGCAGGTCTTGGAACTCCACGGCCACAACCACGGTGTCGCCTGCGTGGCCTTCTCTCCCAGTATGAAGTACCTCGTGTCGGTGGGCTATCCGCATGACACGGCTGTGAACGTGTGGGACTGGAAGGTAAGCGGCAGCGTGGCGGGTGCCCGAGACGCACCCCGGTCGCCATGCCCACAGGCAGGCGTGCCACCGAGGTGTACCTGGCCGGCAGGCCGTGAGCAAGGGCCGGGGAAGGAGGCGCTCTGCGATGCGGGAACCGAAGTACGAAGTCCAGGGTGCGCCGTACAGTCGCGGGCGCTCCCCTTTGCATTACTCCAAATGGAGTAGGGAGACAAAACGATATTCTCTGGGGGCGTTCTGGTCAAGGTTCCTCGTGCCTTTGGCGCATTTCTCGACGGATGTTGTCTCTGGTGTTGCAGAAAGGCACGCTCATCGCGTCCAACAAAGTGTCCTGCAAGGTCATGGCCATTTCCTTCTTGGAGGACAGCTACTTTGTGACTGTCGGCCATCGCCACGTGAAATTCTGGTTCTTGGATGTATCACGGGAAGCTCAGGTAAACCTCGGTAATTGGATACAGAAAGAACAATGGAAAGTAATCCCTTCATAACAGTGTCCTGGCTATATTAAGTAAACTGGTTACATGGCAATTCTTGTCCTTAATATATAATAGTTAATGGGCAGAGAATGCCCAATGGAATAGAGGAAAAATTAAGTATTTGTTTTGTAACTGTACAGGCTAATGGCCCTCAAAATCTAATATCTTCATAATTCAAACAAAGCTTCAGATTTTGTATTTAAACATTTCTGACTATTGTGATGTTTTAAGAAGCAAATTCTTCATCTCATCAGGCTTATTTGTGTTCGAAAAAGTAAAACGTTTCTTGAGAATGCACAGGTCACGCTAACCTCCATCATATGCTCGCCGCAGGTCAAAGAGACGGTCCCGCTGGTCGGCCGCTCCGGCCTGCTCGGGGAGCTGCACGACAATGCCTTCTGTGGGGTGGCTTGTGGACGGGGCAGGATGCCCGGCAGCACCTTCTGCATCTTGCACTCTGGACTCCTCTGCCAGTTCAACGAGAGGCGTGTGTTGGAAAAGTGGATCGACCTGAAGGTGAGAGTCCCTCCCTCTGAGCCGGCCGCATTTCTGAGGGACCCGCCGAAGACGCGCGGCTCCTGCAGCTCCGCGGTGGCCTGGCGGGACATGCGTGCGCTTCCTTGCAGGTGTCTGCAGCCCACTGCCTCTGCATCAGTGAGGAGCTCATCTTCTGCGGCTGCGCCAATGGCACAGTGCGACTTTTCCAGGCACACGACATGCAATACCTGACGGACCTGCCCAAGCCCCACCTCCTGGGCGTTGACGCGGCCGGCGGAGAAGCCACGAGGTCTGGAGCTGCGGGGAGGGGCAGTTGAGGAACTGGGTGGAGAACGCGGGGCACCCTGCGCGGTGGAACGGAGCGCTCTGCTGCTGGCTCGGGGGACTGCCGGGCTTCCCCAGCCTGCTCGTGAAGTGTTGGCATGCAGGCCGGTCCGGTTCACAGTTTTGCGGTTGTGTTTCCAGTGCGTTTTTAGTCACCGTTTTAATGAGGGCTTTTGAGCTTTCCACTGCCTTGAGCACCATTTCCTTGGTGGAGTGGGAGGTACACTTCAGACCAAGCAACAAATCCTACCGACTCACGACACGACTGGCTGTGGAGCACTGGGAGCTGCCGTGTGTTTCTGTCTCCACGTGCCCGAGCAGCCCCCCCTCGGTGTCCCGGGAAGGCACCGCTGGCAAACGGGCCCTGGCTCTGACCCCCTCCGCAAAACTGGAAGGCCTTGTGGCTGCCGGACCGCCTGCTGCAGCTGGGTGCAGTCCAGCTCTGAATCTGAGCTGCGTGGCCGGCGGGCCTGGCCAGGCCAGGCTGGATGCCTGAGGAGAGGCCTTCGTCCCGGAAGGAGCTCCTGCTCCTCCTGCTCGTGCGTGTGCACCTCACGCCCCTGCTCGAGTCCCCTGCAGTCTTCCTGAGCACCGCCGTGTAGACTCAGGCGTTTGGTTCTGTGGGGAGGGTAGCCAAGAAGACCGCTCCCCCTCTGTGTGGTGTTTCCAAGAAACCCAGGTGCCGCCTACCCCGACACGATCGCCCTGGCTTTTGATGTCTGCCACCACTGGCTCTCCTGCGTCTACAAGGACCACAGCCTGTACGTCTGGGATGTGAAGAACCACAACCGGGTGGGGAAGGTGTGGTCTGGCCTCTTCCACAGCTCATTCGTGTGGAACGTCGAGGTGAGGGGATGCCTGGGCCGAACCTTTACACCTGTGCTCGACACCAGGCCTTTCTGTAAACACACCAGGTTGCAATTCACCTGCCAGGCTCTGTTCAAGGCCTTTGGCGTTCCCCTTCTGGGGGCTGGTCCACGCTGCGTTTGATTGCGTGGCCCAGGGAATGGATCACCCCAGGCATGGAGTGGTGAGAAGCTAGCTCAGCCATGCCTCTTTGGAGATCGTGCCTTACGCTTCTGTTCTGTGTGTGTATGTATGTCTTAGGTTTATCCTGAGTTTGAAGACCACGAAGGCTGCTTGCCCCCGGGATCTTTTCTAACATGCTCCTCTGACAACACTATACGTTTTTGGAACTTGGAAGATGGCACACCAGCTGATTTTCAGAAGAATGTCTGCAGTAATGTAAGGGACATGCCTTCGTGAGGTGATGGCAGAGCAGATCTCTCCGTGGGTGGGTGTGCTGAGTCCCTTCACGGCCACGTGGGCAGCTGCAGCTGACTAGAGGCCTCGTGGAAGCAGCTCCCCTCCCGGCCTCTTACAAACTGTCCCCATCGTCCTCCCTTTGGTGGGTTTTCCTTCAGCACAGCGGGGTGAACGTGTGTTCTTCCATCCTCTTTCCAGAGCTTGCTGAAGGTTGTGTATGTGGAAAAGAACACCCGGCACCTGCAGGATCCCCCCAGTGTGCTGGACAGAGCTGAAAATGCCAGCTGCCTGGACGCGAAACCAGGAGTCCGTGTCCTGCAGGTCAGCCCTGACGGCCAGCATTTGGCCTCTGGTGACCGAGCCGGAAATTTGAGGTAGGTCCTGCGGGAGTCTGTCTGCTTTCACCATCTTTCGCTTGGCAGTTGCTATAACTGCACCAGCTTCAGGGGACTCTGAGACATTTTATAAGCAAGAGGAAGAGAAGCACTGAATGCGCCACGCAGGCTCAGAGGAGTCGTGGCGCCCACAAGCGTCACTCTCCACACGCAAACCCTGCTCGGGGCTGTCAAGTTGCTTGGCGTAATGTGAGGGTTACGCAACCCTTGCCTGATCCTTTAACGGACTGTGGGTTATGCAAGGATTATTTAACCCGCACATAACCTATGCTCAGCAGAGGGATTCAGAATGGTGGCTGCGTGCCCCCCCCCCCCGCCTCACCATGGGTTAAATAGCCAATGGTGGACTATCGCATTATGTGGATACGTATTGTGCAAATGTATATTAAGTGTGTAAATTAGAAGAGAATAAAGGGCAGCCTGTGGGAGCTTGCAGCGTGATAAGGAATGCTGTGGTGTCCATGGAGAAGTGGAGAGGGAAAAACCTCGGATGGGGAGAAGGCGCGGCCCCCTCTTGGCTTTTAATCAGCTTTCTGGAGGTGAGGATTGCGGAAGGACCTGCAACACGAAGTGAAGCTCTGCGGGGATGTTGCAGAAGGAAGGAAAGCAAAAGGCTTCACCTCCCAGCCCCAAACCTGGGCTGCCTGGCATTGCACAGGACAGCAGGGGAAGGTCCCAGAGGGCTGGCAAGGAGAAGGGTCCCTCCTCTGTCCCTGCCCTGGAGAGGCCAGAGTGGGACCGTGAGGCTCTGCTTCCAGGCCAGCTGCTGCCTTGAGCAGGAGTGCTCCCTTTGAGTGCCACAGGCCCTGCGTGGCCATCAGCTGCTAAACTCTCTCTCTGATTCGTCATCTCTAAAGAAGTGCAGCCGTAGCGAATGCTGACTTTCCTCAGTCTGCGAGGAAGCGACTTGGCTTCAAAGCTACAGACAGGACTTTTCGTCTTGCAGGATACACAAGCTAACGTGCATGGACAAGGTGATGAAAATCGAGGCCCACGATTCAGAAGTTCTATGCTTGGAATATTCTAAGCCGGAAACCGGTAAATGTTTAAATGGTCTGGAAATGTGGAAGCTGCCTGGGGGCAGGATTGCATGTACCCAACCTTCCCAGCTCTTGAGCGTGGCCTTGGTGAGGGCGCTGTGGGCCATTCTGTGGTCAAACGGTCTTTGGAACCAACACGCCCTTCCGTGTCCATCTGCTGTCTGTAGGGATGACCTTGCTGGCTTCCGCAAGTCGAGACAGGCTGATCCACGTGTTAAACGTGGAGCAGAACTATAAACTAGAACAGACGCTGGATGACCACTCCTCGGCAATAACGGCGGTGAAGTTCACTGGTAAGCCTGCCTTAAGTACCCATATTTCTGTGAAAAAACCCTCCTTCTTTTTTTTTTTTGCTTTTTTGCAAGTTTTGGGTATTTGGGAAGGCGACTTCCCTCCTTCGATTATGCGCATATGACTGCTAGGTGGTGCTCAAGTAGCATCAGACACGATTGTTTTGGGCCTTCTAAGAAAAGCCTCCCTGGCCTTGGCTGGAGAGTTTCAATACATGTTCAATTTTTGTGCCGGTTTACCACTCCCGTTCTTTCTGCTCTTTTCCATGGGGGCTATTTGTGTAGTGTTTATTGTGTTGTAAGCCGCCCCGAGGTTTCGGCAAGGGGCGGCATAGAAATGTAATAATAATAATAATAATAATAATAATAATAATAATAATAATAATAATAGTGTTTCCAACATGTACTGTGAGTGAATAATCCATTGGAAGGGCGGGAGAGCCAAATAATAAAGGAAAAGACCAGAGTGTTGAGAACGTGTATTTCTTGCATTTACAGCTGGCTCTTTATCCTCTTGCAAGGAACCCAAATTAGATTAGGGCCCATCCAGTCCAGCATTCTGGTCTGCAGTGGCCGGCCGGGGGCCGGGAGGAAACCCAGAAGCAGGGCACGGCACGACAGGCTTCTTCTGCCAGACCCAGCTTCTGCTCTGTCATTCCTCCTTCTTTTCTGCAGGAAACGGAGACATTCGGTTGATTAGCTGCGGAGCGGACAAGAGCATCTATTTTCGCAGTGCACAAAAGGTTCTTGTGATTCATTTGCCGCACGTGCTGCTGCCGCCAGCTGTGGCAACGGCCCTGCTTGCCATGGGCTGGTCTGCAGAGGCACGGAGGGTGGCCCGTCCGACTCTGGGGTGCCGGCTGGGGGGCTGCTGCCTTCAGCCCGGCAGGACAGCTCTTGTGCTCTTGGGGAACTTGGAGAGCTTTTCTCCCTCCATCCAAAGTGCAGTTGCTAATTAACAAAGGGGCCCTCTCTCCACTTTTGTGCTCACATCTCAACCCTTGACAGCCCTTGGCCGTATTTTTACTATTATTGTTATTTATTACATTCCTCCGCTGCCCATAGCAGAAGCTCTCTGGGTGGCTCTAGTGTCCACTGGGACCTCCCAACGGCACCCCCGAAGCTTTCCACTCCTTCCCCTCTTTAGAACGTTATTTTTAATATAAACCTTAGAGGGCCCGGCTTATTTATTTATCATTAGATGTATGTCCTGCTTTTTTCTTACAAAGAACTCAAAGTGGCTTACATCATTCTCCTCCTCCTCTCAATGTTATCCCCACCACAACAACCCTGTGAGGTAGGTTGGGCTGAGAGGCTGTGACTGGTCCAAAGTCATCCAGTTGGCTCCATGGCCGAGCGGGGACTCGCACCCGGATCGCCTGGGTCCCAGGCCAGTGCTCTTAACCGCCCCGCCACACTGCTCTCGGTACTCCTTTCCTCCTAGCCTCTGTCCCTTTGCCTTGCTGTTTTTCCCTCCCCGCAAGCCTCTGGCTTTGCCTCCCCCTCCCCCCCGGCTCACTCACTCACTCACACACACAGAGGTATGCTGCCCCTTTAGACCCCCCAGTAGCTGTTACATGCCCTGCCCCACCCCGTCCTCTTCTGTGGTGGTGCCTACAGCAGCTTCTTCGATCCCCCAAGGTGCCCACAGGACCCAAGGGATTAAGCAGCCCCTGGTGACTGTCAGCACAAACCTCCCATGCCAGTTCAGGGCATTGTTGGGTCGGTCCCCTCTCCAGGCCGTGGACGGGGTCAGCTTCGTCAGAACCCACCACGTCGCGGGGAAGGCAACCCTGTATGACATGGACATCGACATCACGCAGAAGTATGTCGCGGTGGCCTGCCAGGACCGAAACGTCAGGTAAGGCGCTCGCCACTTTCCAGGCCGACCCCAGCCATGGCCTGGCTCCCTGGATGGGGGAGCAGACGCGGCCCGGAGGAATAAGCACGTGGCGCAGCAGAGCCGGTCCCTTTCCTGCCCTGCCCTGCCCAGCGCGCCACTCTTCTAGGCCCCTCAAGCCAGTTGAGCATGTGGCCAACGCGCAGGTGTTTCCCATGAGCAGGAGGCGTGTTCACCTGGCTTCCTGCAGCTCAGCAAAGGGCTTGCCTGCCAGCCAGGATAGCCCAGTGCCCGGGGGCAGCTCTTCCGCCCGCAGTCCGCTGCACCCGTGAAACGTCATCGTGCCCCTTTCCGCAGGGTGTACAGCACAGTCACTGGGAAGCAGAAGTGCTGCTACAAGGGCTCACAAGGGGAAGACGGCGCCCTCCTGAAGGTAAGAGGGGGCACAGGCAGTCTGTGCAGAGGGCTCTGGCCCCCTCAAAGCCGCCCCGGAGATGGCCCCCGGGACACGGCCTCCGGGCTGTGACAGGAGGGGCTTGTGGGGGACGCTGGGATCTTGCTTAACCATAACACGTGGCCTCGAGGGAGTGTGGCCTCTTTTACAATCTCTGTGTAGGTTCAGCTGGATCCCTCGGGAACTTTCCTGGCCACCAGCTGCTCTGATAAAAGCATCTCTATCATCGACTTCCGCTCCGGAGAGTGCGTCGCCAAAATGTTTGGCCATTCAGGTTTGTTTGACCGTGCTGCTCTGTTTTGGCCCAGCTAATTTTCCAGAGCATCTCTCTTGCCTCCTCTGGCTTCCTTTCCCAAGAACGTTGCATGCCAACGATGAGTCAGATCCCGGAAACACCCCCTTGAAGAGCGAGCACGAGGCCGGAATTCCGTGGCGCCTTTTCAGCTTCCCACGGGACTCACTGGGCTCCCCGGCAAAGGCTGCCTGACGAGTGCCGTGGCCACGTCCTGTGTGCTTTGAGCCGCATAATCAGTTAAAATAATCCAGCAGAACAACACGTAATTGCTGCATCGTTATATTGCAGAAGTCGTGACGGGGATGAAGTTCTCCTTTGACTGCAAGCGCCTGATCACCGTCTCCGGAGACAGGTAGCCAGCGTGCCCACTCCGCTCCGTACAGGAGATAACCGCTGGTCCGTTGGGCAGGGGCCCCGCCAGGCTCAGGGGAAGGAAGGGCTTTCCGGTGGCCCCCCCACACGTGGGGGGCACTTCTAGCGGTGGGCTGTACAGTGCGACAAACATACCAGGGGCACCCCAGTATCGGCATTTCAATGGCACCTCCCCTCTTTTCAGTTGCATCTTTATATGGCGCCTCAGCCCCGAAATTACCAGCTGCATGAAGCAGCACTTGAGGGAACTGGATCAGGCCCAAGAGCAGAAGAAAGCCGGGGAGCCCGCTTGGTCTCATCTGGTCAGGTACCGACACCGCCTTGGCCTGGGGGTCCACCTGACCCCCAGCATCCTGCTTGGCTGGGTGTGGGGACTCCTCAGTTGCCGAGCAAGAAAAAGGGGCCCCCCTCACTGGCATCCTCCTCAGGCAGGAGACATACGCTGCCGTGCCGAGCGGAGAGACCCTCTGTGGCACTGATCCCCTCGCTGGTTACGACACTGGAGGGGAAGAGGAGGAGGAGGAGGAGGAGGAAGACTACACGGCTCTTCAGACGCCCACTAAAGAAGATTTTGATGCAGGCAGGAGCTGCAAGCGTGGCGCGAGGGGGCCGGGAGGGTGGCTGGGGGGAGCAGTCGGACGTGCTGCAGTGAAAGCGGACGTTCCCAAAGCCCCGTCCCACGGGGAAGGCCCTTGGGGTGGGCCCTGCAGCATCAAGGGAGTGAACCGGGGGCGCTTGCAGAGCAACTCTCCCGGGCATCACCAGAAAGTGGCTGCCGGGGAGGAGCGGCGAGGCCAGGCCCACTTCCCATAGGGCTGAGCCTGGGGCAGAGCTGGGACCAGTGGGGCAGCCCCGGCACCGTGGTGGGGGCCAGGCCCCTTGCCAATCCTGCTGTGGCATCTCATTTATAATTTTGCAGAAGCCGTCTTGCTGTTTTCTTCCTTCTCTGCCTCACTCCCACAACCTTTCTCCTAAATTCTAAACAGATAAAGTAGCAGGCTCACATAGAAACGCTGAGACTCTGTGCTTTACTTAGCTTTTTTTAATCTCCTCTTCTTTCTAGTCGTCATTGTGGCTTCTGGAACTTGGTAGGCAAATCCTCCCCATGGCCCAGTTCTGCTTAAGATTTTTTGCATGGTTGTCCTTATTACTGAATGAGGTAGAGGGGGATTTCTTGCTTCTGTTACCTCCCGGTACGAAGCGTGTAACCCGTGCATCTCAGTTGCTCACGTGTGCGTGTTTCTCCCTTGCTGCTCCCCAGCTCCGACCTACCTCCTCTCCAATGGGAAAATGCCGATGTGGGCAAAGAGGCTGGTGAGTAGCGTGCCGTAACAGAGCCCTCCGACAGCTGCTCGAGGAGCGGTCAAGCCCCGGGGACAAAAGCCGGAGAGCCGCAGTTCGTCTGTGCGAGTTGTGTGTCCGCTGGCCCACACGCCACCCGCCCTCTCCCTCCTCTGTGTTGAGAGAGGGCCCAGCTCTCACCTCCTACATCTGCCCATGCGGATTCGTCCAGGTCTGCGGAGAAGTGGCGGGGCAGAGCTGGGCAGAGGACGGGGCAGTCCCAGGGTGACTTGGCAAAGATTCTTGGGCAGAGGGTGGGAACCAGCCCCCCTTGGAAAAGCAGGGAGCCTCTCGGGGCCAGAGGGGGCGGAATCCCCCAACCTGCTCAGGAGATGGCGGGGAAAGGAGCAGGCTGGTTCTGAAGTCCTTGAGCAGCCAGAGCCCCTGCGAGCCCCCGAAGCTTTTCTGAGCAGGAGGGAAGGATTCTGCACTTCCTGTGGGCAGAGGCTTCTCCCACCTCTCCAGCAAAGCGCCGCTTCATCACCTGAGGAACGCTGTTCCATCGCCCGTGAAATCTTAATGAGGAGGCTGAGCTCTGCGAGTTTTGACTGAGTCAGCTGAGGAGGAAAAGAGGGCAGGAGGCACCTGCTTCTGGACCCCTGCAAATGAGCGGCACGCCTAAGAAACGCTTGCTGGTCTTTCCCCTCTGCAGCTCGGAGAAGCAGATACTTCAGACGGCGCTAGCTCCTTTGACTCGCGGGTGAGCTATCAGCCACAAGGGCGGTGGGCAGAAAGCATCAACCAGGAGCCAATCAAAACCATTGCAGATGCTGACCTCAGCGACTTCAGCCCAGTCGAAAACAACTGTCTCAATGACATCGAGCTGGTGCCAAAGCTGCTCTGGGAGGTGAGGAATGTTGGTGGCGCCCAGTCTGGGAAACGGGCCTCACGCCCTCTGGCCGGGGCAGAAGCTGGGGGAACAGCCCAGGATCCAGTCTTCAGTGGCGGGGACTTGCCCCTGAGCGAGTGGGACCTTCCTTTTCAACTTGGGAGGGCCCTGCTTCCAGCGAAGCTGCTGTGGAGGTCAGAACTGCTGGTGCTTCACGGCCCCTGGGTCAGTCTGGCTTCTCTTCTGCTTCACGGCTTGGGAAGCCTGACAGACTGACTGACTGACTGACTGGAGAGCTGGCCTACAGACCCTGTGGCCCCAGAGAGTGGGGCATCCCCGCCCTGCCCGCATTCCCCCCGCCTGTGTCTCCAGTGTGGGACTGGAGGCAGCAGTGGGCATGCAGGCGGAGGAGAGCCAGGCACTGCTGGTGGGGCGGCCACTCCTCCTCCCAGGGCTTGCCAAGTGGCTCTGCGCAGCGGACGCAGGCCCCGGCCGAGGGCTCTGCTCATGCCACAGAGCGGCAGCTCCTCCCAGCGCTGGATGAGGCCTTTCGCGTCATGCAGGGTGCAGAGGAGGCCGCTGCGGGGCGCAGCTTCCAGCGCACAGAGCGGCTCCTGTGAGGAAAGAGATGGGCTCTTTTGTTCCTTGCGCAGACCGAGGGCTCCACTAGCAACATAATACAAGACTTCAAGCGGGCAGACCCGTCTTCCGAAGATGAGGCGGACCCCGCACGGGAAGCCAGCAGGAGCAGCTTGTACGGCACACAGGCTGGCGACAGTCCCCCTGCTGGAGAGAGGTTGGTCTCTGCCCCACACCCAGCCGCAGCCTGGCGCACGTTCACCTGGAAGGGCTCTCTGCTGAAGTGGCGTGCTTTGGGTCAAGTTGCAAGGCAACGAAACGGCCCGCCCACCGGGAAGTGTTTCCATGGGGCCCGTGTCGCTTGTGGCCATTGATCTGGTCTGGGTTTGATTGTAGCACCTCCAGACTGACTCAGCTGCTTGAATCCTCACCCCTCCCATGCCGAAGGACGGCTAAAGAGCAAACATGTTCCAAGAAACATGCTCACCTCTTGTTTCCCAAGGAAATACATGGATGGGCTGCCGCTTCAGCCATTTCATCAGGAGGGAGCCGCCCGTGCGAAAGAAAAATCGCTGGAGCAGCTGTACTCCATCACCTCCCTGGGTTCAGAGGCTTCCCCTTTGGATCGCCAACAGGAAGGTAAGCTTCTCGAGGACTCGCTGTCCCTGCGGGGCCCTCTTGCTTGTGCCCAGGGCCTGTTGGCCTCTGGAGCTGCAGAAGCACTCGCCCGCCTCGGTTGCCGCTTCCCCACAAGCGCTGCGGATCTGGCCAGCGGAGCACCAAGAGCTGCCCCGGCCTGGATGCCATGTGCACTGGAGCCTGTCCTTCCATTCCTGAGAGAGGGCATGGAAGGACCGCGCCAGAGCGGGGCACCGCTGGGATCCGCAGCAGGCCTGCGTGGGCTCGAGTGTCCAGGGATCCAGCCTGCCGGTCCTGCAGCAGCCCAGCCTTTTTGGCTTGCAGAAACTCGCAGACTGTTCGTTTTAAGTTTCATTATGCAAATTTAATTGTCAGAAAGTATGCATTTTTTTAAAGCACGTGCATTTCCCCCATAGGCTAAAGCATGAAAATAGGCACTTTGGTGGGGATTTGCACATTTTCAGGAGTGTGAATTTGTGCAACTCTGAATTCATGTCTGCATAGGTGAATTTGCTCGAAATCCACTTATGCCAGCGGGTGGATAATGGAAGGGAAGGTACCTGACAATCCACAAAATAGGGATGGAGCAGATTTTACAATGCCCATAACATCCTAGACAGGAGAAGTGGAGTCTGTTAGCAGAACGCCTGATACTTAAATCCAAAAAGAAGTGGATTTGGATAGATTGGGATGAGGCAGTTTACCCAGTGTCGCCTGGAAGGGAACTAATGCAGAGGACAAAAACTCTAGAACTGGCCATTTCGGGGGCTGGGTGGAAATAAAACCCAGAAGCTGGCCCAGCACCCAGCTCATATCCTGCGCTTTCTACGCTTAGACCGAGAGTCTCTTCTTTCGGAGGCAGAAGCAGAAATGGCTGACTTAGACGAGAACTTCCAGCAAAGCAATTCTTTGCCACATACCCCCGAGCAAGAGAAATACCTCCGGCATCACTTTGAGACACTGGCCAGCGCCCACTCGGAAGGTAACTGATGCGCTACAGGAATAATCCTCCTGCAGCCGCCCGGCCCCTCAGCCGCGCCCAGAGCGGCACACAAAGAAACAGGTCTGGTCTTGGCGGAGCAGGTGCCTTGCCCACTCCCGGCATTCGGCACCTGAGGGGCTGATTCAGCGTTGCTCACCCTGGAAGGGGCCGCACTCGCATTTCAGCCTGGTCGAGCAAACGGGCCTTGACCCGTCTAGGAGGAAAAAGGCAATGCACGCTTCACCCCCATCAGGATGAGTGCTCGGTTTCTGCACACTGAGCCGGGCCTTTTCAATACCAAAGTGGCTGAGAACTCAGGGCAGCTCTCTTCCCCTCCCTCCCTCCCTCCCTCCCACTCTTGGGATGCAGAAAAGTTTGACGGCTGTATAAAAGACCTGAAGCCCCTGGAAGACGAGGACGAAGAGGCCTCCCTGTTCCTGAATCCCCGCCTGAGCATTTCTGCCAGATTTCTCTCCCGCTACCAGAAAAACAGCAGGTTGGGAAACATTTCTTCAAAAATGTTCTTGGCTCATGATGGAACCTCATCTGAAATCCCGGGCTGAGGTGGTGCTTTCTCCACCCAGGTTTGCCGCAGCCTTTCTTCCACTGGCCCACCAGCCCATCCAGGCCGCTGCTGTGGGAGAGGAGGGCGAGCCCAGGAAAATGGAGGCAAGTTGACCCCGCCGAGTCGTGCCCGGGGTGCAGGTGCAGCTGGGGACGATGTGGGAGAGCGAACCCCAGCCCACACACCTGGGCCGAGCCACAGTGGGGTTTCCTTCTGCCGCCCAGGCTCTCTGCTGGCAGCTCGGGAAGAAGCGGCCGCCCTTGGCCCGCGACTCTGGCAAGCCCATGCGGCGAATGGGTGCATCCGGGGCCCATTCCATCCTCCTTTTCGAATGATTTCACGCCAGCTTGTATCCCCACTTTCCCCACAGATCTCGGGGGGTTCTGTTTTGTTGAAACATGCTGAATTTCATCTCCCTGCTGAAATGGAGAAAGCTTGTGCAGTTGTGGGACATGTTTTTGTGACCTTGAAAGGGACTAAGAGATGGTTCTGACACCTTTCATAAAATTAAAGGGAAAACTTAGAATCCCTGCAGTGCAATTCGCAAATTAACTGTCTGTAAACTAATTGCTTTTAGAAACCTTCAGCAGAAACTCACTCAGATTTGAAGGAAAAACTTGATGCTAAAGCATCTGGGACTTCAGGTAAGATGCTTGACTGGGATGCTGGTTGCTACCCACTTCTTTTCTTTACTCAAAAATCTGTTGTTGCAGGGGATGGATTTGATTTTGTGCATCTTTCTAGTTAGAGAAACACAACTCAATGCTTGCTCAGTGTCCTGTCGAATCTGAAAGATGAAGTCACTTGTCTTTCTGTTTTGCATGACTTTCTCCCTTCCCCCACCTTCGGTAAAACGGCACACATGGAATCCTCTTTTCCATTCTGTTCTCAGAAGCTCGGGCTCTAATTGAGAACTTTGACATGAACCTCCAACCTCTGTGCAGCAAATTTCAAGAGACACTGCAAGTTTATGACCAGGTAAGATGTATGGCAGGCAGGGCCATGTAACTGCAATTAAAAAAAGAAAAAAAAAAGCCAAGTAGGCACCTGGGTTTTCCAATCAACTTGTCCATTTTTGGAGGCTGCTGGTCAACTGCTTCCTGCTGCTGGGGAGGGGACAGGCAATGGCTGGTGGCAGCCCCGAATGGCGCCACTGGCTCGTCCGCGGATTGGCGGGGCTGAAAGCGTTCACACTGTGCCACGCAGGTGATGTCCTGCCATGACTCAACGGAGGAGGAGCTCCTCCACGTGAAGAGCAGGCTGGTCAGCACTTTCTGTTGGATGAAACAAGAACTGGACTCCAGAGCCATAAAAGGCAACATGGATGTGGCCACAGGCACAGAGAGTCCATCACCCTGGCTTAAGCGCCTTCAAGACAGCGAGATCCACTCTCTCCTGAAACAGTACTCTGATTCGCTGCTGCATCTGCTGCAGAAGAAGCTGGAGGAAGCCAGCAAAGCAAGCGTTGTCTGAACTTCGTTGCGCAGCCACCCTCCTGCCCAGATTTTATTGCACGGCTCTGCACGAGAAAACATGGACACCAATATCTGTGTAACTCCTGCAGGGTTGCATTCTTCGAAATACAGGCTTCCTGCTTTCCCTCTGGCTTTTTTTGCTTCCAGGGGAAAAGTTTTAAATTTTGCACACAAAGACTGACAAGTTTTTCAAATAAAACTTTTTCTAGGTTTTGGAAATAATAAAATTTGGTTATTGCACTTTTAAAGGGCCTCTTTTTTTACTGTATGCGCACCTCCGATGCTGAGCATGGCGAAACTTTTCCTGAAGGTTTAGCTCAGTTTGAAGCAGAGCTGTGCATATGCCATGTTGGAACCCCCATACTAAGCCAAAATTCTTTGCAGCCCGTTTGCTTATGAAGATGAATACTAAATACATGGATTGCTTGGTCCCGTAAATGGGGAAAAAACCCGGCAAACTTAAAGAACCACAAGAGAAGCTCTAACAAGTCCAGCTTGTCCATAGGCACAGCCTCTCAATATTGATTTATACCCGTTTCGTTCCTGTGCCGCCCAATCGCTGAGGCTCTCTGGGCAGGCCCAGCAATAGTCGGACCGCGTTTTCGCTCACTTCCAGGAAGGATGAGGGTTGCCAGCCGGACTGTCTTCTCCCACGCTGCCCCCCAGCCCTGGCTCCCGAAAAGAGAGAGCGCCTGTTCCATGGGAAAAGATCTGGACAGAAGGGAGAGGACACCCACAGTGACACAAGTGTTTACAATCAAAGGCACACAGTGTGCAAAACCTACTCAAGAGTTTATAGCACTTAGCCATGTCACAAACTAGGTTGCTATAATCCATGGAAAGGTCCATGGCTGAAGCTGTCTCGCTTTTGCTGAATGTTGTTCCCATGAACTGCTTCAAAAAGAGGCATGTACAAAGCAGGACTTGGGCCCGGCCAGACGGACATTGCGTGGTGCACCATTCTCCTCCGAGGAGCTGAGGACCGCGGCCCACCTGGACTAGCCAAGCAGCCCGTCCTCTCCCTCCGTCCCCGGCCGCTGCTGCGGATGAGACAAGAGGCCGGAGCACTGTGGGCTCTTCGGATGCGCAGCGCTGGAGGACCCGTGCTCTGTGGCCGAAATGCACATTTGCACGGTGGGGGGATAGTGCAGAATTTCCCACTGTCCCCAAGCTGGCATACAAAGATGGGGCGGAACGTTGATCTCTGGATAAGGAGCGACAGCAGGCGGGACCCAGGCGCCACAGAGATCTTCAGCGCACTGGAAGCCCATGCTGCTGAGGCAGCTTCTGGATGGAGGAGCCGCTTCTTCAGTAGCTCTTCCACCAGGGCTCCAGGCGCGTTCCTGAAGACCCCGGCAGCTGCAGCCGAGTCTGGGACTCATCCTGCAACCACCAGGGCTGTGTTTCTGGTGTTTGGCCAGCAGGAGGCGCCCCAAAGCTGCCCAGCTCCTGACAACCCCAAAAGGGCCCTGAGGCGCTCCGAGCAGGTCCCGGCATGATATCCAACTGCTTGGAGCGCTGCCCAGGGAAACAGGTTTATTCAAATCCGGGTGCTCAGAAAGACATGGAAATGCAGCGCTTGTTTGAAAGGAGAGATTTGCTTGCTTTCGGGCGCCGCAGGCCAGATGAGCAACTGGGCTGGCACTGGGAAAACCAGCAGATCCAAGCTGGCCGCTGGAGCAACGGCCCCTGCGCTCCCCTCTGGCCACGACTGCTGGCTAGGAAGATGGGGGCTGTAGTCCAACACGCCTGGAGGGGGTGCCAGGCTCGGGGAGGAAACTTTGATGGTCCTTGTGGTATTTGCATGCCAAGTCCCAGATAAATGACTTGAAACAATACATTAAAGACAGGATTCACCCTAAACCCACAGGAAATGCCGTCCAGGGCAAGGATCCTCTCAGCAGGTGCCCGAAAGCACCAGGTTGGTCGGCACCTGCCCGGCCTCCCGAGGCAGGGAAGGCGCAGAAAGGGGCTGCCACCCCGAGGTCCCGCTGGGCTCCAGTGGGTGGACGTGGGACCACCGGAAGATCTTCGGGGACCTCGGTGACGGTTCTGCAGAAGAGGGGGGCGTGAGTCACCGCTGCCGGGTCGGCGCAACGGCTGTGGCCGCAAGGGGATGGTTTTTATGCCCTCCCACCCCACCATTCTGCTGAAAAAAGCAAAGATATTTAAACATGCAACAATCACTAAAGCTACTTTTTAATTACTTGCGAGTAATTCCTCAGCAGCAGCTACGAAGTGAAGGGGGCAGGGAGAGAAGGAAGGGCCGTTTCACGAAATGTGCCCACACGCTGGAATCGTTCGCATCACCCTTGGTTTAGAAAAAGAAAAACAATAAGGAGAAGACAACGTCGCAAGAAAGAAGTCGGCATATAAATCAAATAAATAATGACACTGGTAGCGAGGCAGGCGTGCCACCCGGCAGGCGTCACGAGAGAAGAGGCCGACTCTGCTCGGCACTCAGCCGGGCCGGTGGCTTTCCAAGAATGTCTTCTGAAGACCTGAAAGGACAGAGAAGACGGGCCTTCTGCATCCTGTGGGGCTGGCCATTTAGGGGCCAAACGCACATGCTGAATTAAACTGAAAACAGCCGGGAACCCATGAAGTGGATGGCTGTGTTCACCTGCAAGGATCTTCTGTGCCCAGGAAGCCGGGATGACCGGAGGTGGTGGCGTGGCGGAGCAGCTGGGTCATCGGTCTATCAACATACCGATTTGGATTTGATTCTGCAATCTCAGTGTGAGAAATCGCACGCCCGAAATCTCACCTGACTGAAATCGGGAATGAGCCAGTGCCTGCACCTGTCGTGCCGCAGGAACCAGCTGGGTAACCGTCTCCGTAGTCAAGGGCAGGATTTGCATAGCGCAGCGGAGGCTCTTTGTTGCCTCTGCAGTTAGAAGTACCGGGCATGCAAAGAAGGCGGCGGTCCCCTATTCAAAACTTATGTGCATGGCACCCATTCAAATCGCCGGGACGTTCGGCTCCCGATTTTAAATAGCATGAACGGCACTCTGCTCACCCCCAGAACCTTCTGCTTCATCGGCGGCTGCAACCTCAGATCGTGCTTGGTGGAGACCAGAAGTCAAGCGAGGGCTTTCTGAGTGCCACTTCCGGAGAGCTTCGCCTTGCTGGAAGGAGGGTGGTTGGGTGGGTGTCTAGCCTGGAAACCTGGGGTGTGGGGGGGTGATTCTTAAACACATCTCGGGGAGCCTGGCTCCGATTTGCTTGTAAAGGAACTTTAGCTCCCCTGTTGCCTTCTAAGTTAAAGGTTGGGCTGGGCTGCATCTTCTGGCAGGTGACTACGTCGAAGCCAGTCAGGTTTGTGGGGAATGATTTATTTATTTATTTTCCGATTTATATCCTGCCTTTTTCCTACAGAGGGCTCAAGGCAGCTTACATCATTCTCCTCCTCCATCTTATCCCCACCACAACAACCCTGTGGGGTAGGTTGGGCTGAGAGTCTGTGACTGGCCCAAAGTCACCCAGTTGGCTCCATGGCTGAGCGGGGACTGGAACCCGGATCGTCTGAGTCCCAATCCCAGGCTCTTAACCACTACACCACACTGGCTCCCGTGCAGATGGGGTGGGGGGGGGCAGGGGGGCAGCAGAAAATGCATATCCACAACAGCTGTAAGTAAAAAATTAATTGCCTGCTGGGAGGGGCAGCTTCATACCCCTCCTGGATCCAAGTGTGGGAATTATACGGTAGAATTTAATGGTGTGGAACCTAGGGTTAACATGGACTGCCAAGAAAGCCTGGATATTGGAGGGATAAAGATTAGGAACCGGGGGCCTCAGACTCCAAGTTCTCTTAATAAGAATGGTCCTCTCCCCGCTTGGCCTTCAGGTGTCAGTGCACTTGGCCCAAGGAATCCCAAGCCCGCACCTGAGCAGCCATGCCGAAGTCGTTCCTGGTGAAACAGCGCAGCTCAAGATCCCAGAACTGGGGGGAGCTCTCTGACCAGCTCCGAGGAGACCTGTACATCCCAGGTAGGCGCACCTGCTGACCTGCGGCAGTTTCGTGTTCTGCATTGTCTTTATCTGGGATCAGATGTATACACCCGGGCCGGCCTCTTGACTAGATTGTTCCAAACTGCTGCTCTTTGGACAGATAGGACTGCAACTCCCCTTTTCCCCAGTCAGCAGGGCCACTGCTGATGGGAGTTGTAGTACAACAGAACCAGAGAGCACCAGATTTGGGAAAGGTTACCCTGGGCTAGAAATACACATCCCTCCATTCAATTAGGCATTTTCCCAAGGAACATCAAGGAGGTGTTTTGGCTGTATTGGGGGTTGGGGGGGTAGAGAACTGAGGTCCTCTTTGAAATTCTGATTTCCTAGGGGCAAAACCTATGTGCAGCTCCAAACCTCTTTGGGAGTTGCTAATCTATATGCGCACAGCTGAGCAGCAGCAGCAGCTTGGCACTTGGCATGCTGCTTGAAAGAGCTGCAGTCTCTGTCCTGCATGCCCAGGGGCTTGTCCTGCTTGCTTACTTACGAGTAGGCTTAAGCTAGGGAGGTAGCACACTTGACCCCACCCACCTGTGCTTGGCCATCTCTCGTTTACCCAGTGCCCGCACACAGACAGAATGTAACCGTAGGTGCTTCCCTGGAATGGAATTTGTCCCTTGGATTGAAGCAGGTCTCTGCTCCACTGTTTTAATGCTAAGGGCTACTTTGCAATGTAAGAATCTCTGTCCAAGAGCGCTCATCTTTCCTCTGCCCTCCTCATACTCTTCTCCTTCTGTGCTGTGCATATCAGTCTGTAAACCTGCAACCCGGGCCTGTCTGGTTCTTACTGATCGTTCATAAGCCGCTCTGGGGAAGCTTCAGCAAACAAACCCACTGAGCGGTCAGTGGGTTTTGGTTTCCTCTGGGCAACTGCACATGGAGACCAAAGAATACAAGAAAACTGTGGACCCAGCACACCAGAGCGTTTGGCCCTGCGACAAAATGTGGCTCCTTCTCTTCTCTTCTTCACCACGGGCCACTGTAGGAGCATGCAGTAAAGGCCCATCCCGGCGAGTTTGTCGCTTGGATCTTTTAGAAGCCGGCACAACCCAGAGCCTCACGGAGCCCGGGACTCTTGGAGACGGCAGCATGAGCCTGTGGGGAAGGATGCCGAGAGGGGGGCCCCACGGCTACACCCCGTTTCACGTTCCACCAAGGGCCGTGGGGAAATCTCCTCGGAGCAGCAAGGTCAGCAAGGGTGGGTGCAGCGGGCCGGCTGCCTGGCTGGGGGGGGGCGCGCGGCCGTTTTTCCAGTCCACCAGTGTCCCTGCCAGGAGCCACAGGCGCCCACCGCCGCTCCATCATCCTCCCTGCTGCGCCGGCGGGGAAAGTGGGGACTGCAGTCAGCGTCCCGGGAGGGCGGCAGGCGGCACTGCAGCCCCTCGTTCTCCTCGCGAGTACCGTGCCCCACCGAGCCCCCATTCTCTGCGCTCCCCAGGGCCGGGGTCCGGCCACGGAGGCGGACTTCCAGTGCGGCGTGTGCAGCAAGCGCTTCCCGCTGCAGCGCATGCTGAGCCGGCACCTCAAATGCCACAGCGCCGTCAAGAAGCACACCTGTTCGTACTGCAGCAAGGGCTTCAACGACACCTTCGACCTCAAGCGGCACCTGAGGACGCACACAGGTGGGGCCTGCGCCCCGGCAGGGCCTTTGCCGCCGCCTCCGCTCAGGGAGGGCCGCCTCCGGGGGCCTGCCCCGCTTCCCCCGTGCCGTTTCCGCAAGGAGCGGAGGCAGCACACGGGGTCTCTCCCCCACGTCGATCGGGGCAGCCACCCACTTAGCCAGACGGGTGCTGGTGGTCCAGGGCCTTCGCTCAGTGCTCTAACCACTACACCACACAGCTCTCCAAGCCCTGAAGAGTGGTAAAGCACCACGAGGGGCTGCCAAATGCCTGTGACGGGCTTTGCACCCCCTCCCAGCCCCTTCCCAATCGTTCCCCTGGGGTGGGATCCCAGGGAGCACTTTGCTCGGCAGCCCGGCTTGTGTGTCGATTTCAGCTTTCAGTCTAAATCCGGAATCCACACGCTTCTGCTGCCTGAAAGTCTCTCAGTGCAGCTACCCGGGCTGCCACAAAAGGATCAGACACCCACATCCGTTCAAGGGCACCTCAGACCGTTCAATCCTTGCTCCTGGCTTTGTGTTTCCAGCCGGCAGCTCGGATGGAAATCTGCCAATTCCCCCAGATCCTTTTGCGGCTCTTCCAGGCCCTTCCGTCTGCATTTTATCCCGGCTAGCAAGCGCTGCTTCCTCGCTTTCTTCAGCGACTGTGCCTGATGCCTAGATCGACCAGTCAGGCATGCGAGGCAGCTAAAGGCTAAAAGTTTTTCCCCAGCCTTCCAAGGCACCCTCTGCATTGCTTCATTCTGCAAGGTGGATCAAGGCACCGGGGGAGCTGGCGCGTTACCTGGGCCAGGTGATCTCATGCACCTTCCGGCCCGCACTTACCCAGCCCCGCTTCCTCGGCAGGCATCCGCCCGTACAGCTGCTCCGCCTGCAGCAAGGCCTTCACCCAGCGCTGCTCCCTGGAGTCCCACCTCAGGAAAATCCACGGCGTCCAGCAGCGCTACGCCTACCGTGAGCGCCGCTCCAAGCTCTTCGTGTGCGAGGACTGCGGCTTCACCTGCAGCGGCAGTGACGAGTTTCACGCCCACGTGCGCCGGCTGCACCCCACAGATGGCCTCCTGGGGAAGGGGCTCCCGCGGCCAGGGCCGGCTGCTGACCTGCGCGCCAGGTTCCACCTTCTCTACCCCGCTGCGTTTTGAGGTCAGGGCGGAGGAGCAGGCTGCGCTTGCCCTCAGATCAGAACCCCAGGATCCAGATCCTGTGCGTGGAAATTGGAGCCAGAAACGGGCTCCGCCAGGCAGGCCTCCGCTTTTAGGCACTCCTGGGCTGTGTCGGTTATTTTCCAGCCACCCAAAGGAACGGCACCCGGCAAGGCGGTGCGGATTCTGTTCCCCCCTCCAGGGTTTGGGAGTCCAGCACGTTTTCTTCCAAGGTTTCACCTTCTGAGGCCTACCCCTTGTCAAAATCACTTTGGCAGCCTTATGGGCTAGAAACATGTCTAGAAATCAAACAGATTTTCCGGAGGTTGACATTTTTTACTTGTTATGCCTGGCTGCCTCCCTCCTGGGCCGTGTCTGCTCTCGTACGACCTTAACCTCATGTCAGGATCTTCTCTTGACGTCCCACCCCAAGTGCCCTCGCTCACCCCGAGAGCCAACAGGGGTGACCGGCGGGCATGGGGCTTTCTGTCAAGTCACGTACCACTCTACCCAGGCACGTTGGGCCTGCCTCCCGATCTTTGACGCGCTGAGCAAAATCTTCATTTGCCCAATCTTTTTCAGCATTTCATTAGTGGCTATATAGTAAATGATTGTTCTACTGGGGCTCTGCTGGGTGGCCAACTAGTTCTTCTTCATGATCATGATTACTACTGTGTTCTCTGTTTGTTGAAAGCCACTGCTGGGGCGAATGTTGGTGGAGAAGAAGGATCCAACTCCATCAAATAAAAATGTGAGCGGTGTGGAAAACGTGTTGTTTCTTTGCCACTCGGAGAGCAGGAGGTGGATCTTGTCTGCCGGCTCTCGGGCTCGCGCCGCATCCCGGAGCTGGGCTGCAGTGAGGAAAGGGCAGGCATGTATCCCCACTTCCTCATGGCTCGCAGCCTGGCGGCCCATGGCTTGGCTGCACCAATCCTGCAAAGTGCCAAGTCCCCCCAGGCAGGTGTCTAAGGGAAGCACATGCTCGAGACGTCTGTGAAAAATAAACCATCTTTATTAGCAGAGCAAAAAGCAAAGCCCAGTCCAAGTGGGGTGATTAACCGGAGGACGTGTCCCATGGCTCGTCCAGGAGTTTCCTCGAGCGGGAGGCGGGGGGGGAGCAGCCAAGAGGCGCTTCACTCCGTCCAACGGTGCCCGCAGTGTGGGGCTGTGCAGACATAATACAGCCTCATGGCATCCTGGAAGAGAGGGGAGGGGTCAAGAGTGCCAGACCACATGCCTTGCTAGATGTGTTCTTGCCCAGGCGGCCACGAAGACATCAGGGAGGGAAGCCGCGCCAACCAGGGACACAGAAGCCCTCCCCATGCCCACAGCCCGAAAACAAGGGGCCCAGAAGCCCAGCTGCCCCTCCTGGGGCTCCAACCGTGCTTCCTGGGGGCCACTCCTGGAGGGCGGAGTTCCCCAGGCAGCTCCCCCTCCTCCTCTGGGCAGCAGGTTGCTGGAGTCCTGTCTCTCCCCCAGGCCAAAAGGTTGAATGCCTCAGCTAAGGCGTAGTTGCTGGCCGCAAGGGCTCCAAGCTAACACATACTGGTATCTGGGGGCCACCCAGCACTGCACGGAGGTCCCCTGGGAAATGGCTCAGGCCCTTGGGCCAAAGGGCGTTGACCAGCTCTTTCATTCCTCCATTCCAGAAGTCCAGAGATGCCTCCAGTTTGCTTCCAACATAATTACTGCAGTGTTACTTGAGTTTACATCAACGCTAAAGCACGCTGCTTCAGCACGGAGGATTCCAGGCCGACTGCATCATTTCCTTCCGATGAGCTCATTAGGATCGCAACCCACGTTGCTCTGCGTGGACTGAACGTCGCTTGTTTGCATCGTATTGAAGTGGTCTTGAAATGGGACATTTGGGCAGCAAGGGAAGCAGCCAATGGGCAAATGCCATGCAAATTAGATGGGAGACCAAGGGGCCGGATTGGCTGAGATGCTCAGCTGAGCACTCCACTTGTAAATGCCTAGCTAGAGGGAGAGCAGAAAGCACAGGAAACGGAAGGACGGGATATTCTTGCTCCTGGCATTTCTCAGGGACTTGGCCAGCGATTGACTTTGCTGTCAGCTCCCCCAAAGCTAGAAATGCGCCTCCTCACCTCAGCCCTTGCACTGTGGGACTGGAAAAACACGGCTTCTTTGTGGCCACACCTGAAAGGCAGAGTGGACAGGCCTGGTTAGCACAGAATCTGGGCGGATCCTGGGAGATGCCGGGAAAGAAACATTAGACCTTAGCCAAAGGCTGTTCTGTGCTAAGCGTATCTATCAAACGAAAGTGTCAAGAGCGTAGTACTCACTTCTGACAGGGGTGGTCCTCTGTTCGGGGCAGAGTTGGATCCTGAGAAACATCAGCGATGATCTGGGTTAATTCGCTAAAATCAAAATGTTGAAGGGGGTTTTTAGTTTGTTCTTCTAACTGGGGCAGCTTGCAACACACACCTGGCAGCCCAACCTTAACAATTAACTTTACTTTCAACTCCCGCCTCAAAGCCACTTCTCTCTATACTCCTCCCTGGCCTCTGGGCACTTCTCTCCGAGCCACTCCCAGTATCCAGCTAGCTGCCTCTTTGACTCTCAGGCACTTTGTGATCTTAGCAGATCTCTTTGCTCTTTGACCTGATGTTTGTTTCCTCATTTTAATTCCCGACCAAGCCTGAGGGCTGCTGTCAATACTCACTCAACTTCATGCGTGATCTTATTAACGTAGATGCAGCTGTTGTCGGCCTCCTGCTGGTAGTCACAGTTGCGGCACTGTTGAGAGGGGGAAGAGAAGAAAATTCAACACCTGCACACTCACGCTCCTCTCCAGGGTAGGCCAACCTGATATGCAAAGACCGCTGGCAAGAGAGGGATGCTGCCTGCACCGAGCTGCCTCCGCAGCCCCGTGCTTAAATGCTGTATTTCGCCAGAGCCGTTGCAAGAATCATTTGCCAACCGATGCAAATACCTTGTCTTCCACAGATCACGCTCACGGCATTTATCACCGTGTAGACCTGTGTGCTGCTCACATCACTTTTAAGAAAAATAAATGTGGTGGCAGTGGATCAGCGGTCACCACCCATAACAGCCTGCAGTGAATCTCCACGTCCAGCGACAGTCTACCTGAGGTGAGACTCAGCCCCCGGCAGAGGCTACCGCCCACCCCCAGGCGGCTCCCCGGCCTGCGGGGGGGCCATCAGCGCCAAGCGGGCCGGGCGGAGGCCCCGCGCTCGCCGCCGCTGCGTCGCCGTGTGGGCCAGGCTCGCGGCCGCCTGCGGGTGGCCGGTCCGCGGAAGCCAGCGCTGCGTGGGCCGGGGGCGCGGCGGCCGCGCACTCACCGCGTAGAGCAGGATCCGGTTCTCTTTGTCCTCCTTGGGGTACAGCATGTTGTTGCTGCGGAAGGGAAGGAAAGGAAAGGGAAGGAAAGGGGCAGCGGGAGCGCGGGGAGCGCCGGGCCCGCGCCCCGGGAGGCTGGCGAGCAGGCCGCCGTCGCCCCACCGGCCCCGCCGCCTCGCCCCTTCCTCACCACTCCTGGCAAAAGCGGATCCCGACGAAGCAGGGCTCGTAGGCCCCTTCCGACTCCATGGCAACCTCGGGCGACGGCGCCTTCCCTTCCCCGAGTGCGCAGGCGCGCGGGGCGGGGCCTCTACGGAAGCCGCCGGGCGCCAGAAAGGCCTTGGCGGAGCGCGCTTCTCTTTCTCCGCGGGGCTTTGATGGACGCCGCCGGAGAACCGCCTTTGTCTGTCTGTCTGTCTGTCTGATTTATATCCCGCCTTTTTTTTCGCACAAAGAACTCAAGGCGGCTTCCATCATTCTCCCGCTCCTGCGCTCGGTCTTATCCCCGCCACAACAGCCCTGCGAGGTAGGCCAGGCTGAGAGTCGGTGACTGGCCCGATGTTCTCCCCACCTTCGGGTCTTGGGCTCCTCCAGCGCAGCTCTGCCTGTGCACTTCACGTGAAAGCACTTGTGCTGCCTGGTCTTTGTGTCACACCCTCCTTCCCAAAAGAAGCTGTGACTGGAGGCTGCCGAAAGATACGTTCAAACTGTGTTCAGCCGCCAGCAATTACCCAGCTCGGAAAATCTGTTTTTGAAGAGATGCTGCAGGGATCAGCAGGCACAAAACAAACGCTTTGGCTGAATAAGGCGCAGCTAAAATCCACAAACATGGCAGGTAGGTGCTGGTGAGCCACTAATTATTCTGAATAACAAGCAAGGTTGCTTGCTGTCGGAAGCCACAAACCAAATTCTTGGGCAAGGGTTGTGTGCATGCAGTGACTCAAGCTGAGACATTTCAACCCCGTATGAAGCACATACAAGAAACCACAATCAAGCAATAGCCATCCGTAAACTGGGTTGTTCTTCGCTTGTAGAATGAATTTAACCCACACACGTTTGTCTCTATTCAAGGCACAGGAAAGGGAGTGGAACCACTGGCAGAATCGTGCTGTGCTGTGCTGTTTCATGCTAACATCTGTTTGTGAAAACCTTTCTCCAGTGCTTTTTTTGTAAACAAAAAAAAAAGTGCCGGAACTCACGTCTTGGGGTCACACTTTTACACAATGGTTGCCACCAAGCAGCACCCTCACAATCGGCACCGACACACAAGCAGCCCGCAGGCACTATGTTCATGATTTTTGCCGCAGATCTGCTATGCCCAACAGGGCGATTCACAATCACTTGGACAAATCCGTCAAAAAAAGGTGCCAGAACGCTGTTCCAGTGCTTTCTGTGACAAAAAAAGCCCTGCCTTTCTTCATGTGAGTGTCTGAACCCACAATATACTGCTACAGTGCACATAAAACAAACAGATCAGTCTTGCTGTAAAGCAGTAGGCCCAAATCTTGATCAGAAGTTGCAGTCTGTTAAAAGCAGTTGCTATTGCAAGTTTTTATTTACATTTCTGTACTGCCCATAGCCAAAAACTCCCTGGGAAGTTCCCAACAAGAATCACAGAATCACACACTCAGGTCACCTTCCCAGAGTCTAACCGAGCCTGACCCTGCTTTGCTTCAGGATCTCCAACCCTATAAAAGTTGGGGAACATGGTATATTTTGCTATTGAATACTTCTTGCTATCATCCAAATCTTTACAAGAAAGCATTGTATGAATTGGCAGAAAGAGATTTTCTGGTTTCCCTGTCCTCTCTCATTCTACTTCAGACACACACACACACACACACACACACACACACGGTTCCCTTTGTGATGGCATGTTTGAGCACATCAGGTGCGTTTCTTTCAGCAGCGTCTTTCTAGTTGACTGATTTTATAATCTGGTTAAAAAGACTGTTTACCATGTTAGTCATCTAACAGAACTTTTTTGTTCCCTTTCGAATGGCGGGAAGCGGCTCCTTCCTGGATGTTCCCATTTAATTTATAACAAGGCACGAAGATGTGAACGTCATCAGATTACGTGGCTAATCAAAGGGGTCAAGGAGCCTGTTGTTTTCAGAGACCATTTCCATCTCCTGCACCAGTTCTGCCACTACTCTGGTTCTTTCAAGAAAGTTAAATTAAAGCTGAAATGCTCGTCCTACAGCAATTCTCTAGCTCGTCCTACAGCAATTCCCGTCACCGCCAGCCAGCACAAAGCACGGGCTGCAGGAGGTTCCTACAATGGGAAGGCGCCTGCCCTGTGCGACTCCTCCCTGGCTTATCTGCAGTGCCCATCTCCGAGAGGGTTGGGACGGATCCACAGCCAGGGAGCTGAGATCCAGAGACGCTGCGGAGAGAACGGGACATCTGCCAAACTTTAGCCTGCTGCATGTAGGCTGCCCCACTCGTGTTGACAAGGGCAGCCTTTTCCTACTATACACGCATCCGGGCTGCATGATTAGCCCTGGAACTGGGTGCCAAAATGTCCTGGCAAAAGGGGGCTGGATGGAGCAGCTGTGGGGTGGATCCGCAGCGGGCAACAGAATCAGACCCAAAGCGTGCTCATCAATGGGGGCCTCTCAAATGGTGGGGCAGGGGGGAGGTAAGAAGTGAGGAGCTTCAGGGTTCGGTCCTGGGCCCAGTGCTCGTCCAGGTTTCCTTTGCTCACGTGGATGGGGATGCTGAGCAGATGTGCAGATGCCAGAAAACGGTGATGACTTTGCCCAGCCCTTAACGGCTTGGGACCCGGATACCTAAAGGAACGCCTGCAGCCATATTTGCCCTCCCGCCCCCCGAGATCGGCAGCAGAGGCCCTCCTCCGGGAGCCCTCCGTGAAAGACATCAGGAGGCAAAGTACCCGGAGGAGGGCCTTCTCTGTGGTGGCACCCCATCTGTGGAATGCACTCCCCAGAGAGGTCCGCCTGGCACCATCGTTATTTGTCTTTCAGCACCAGGCCAAGACCGTTTTATTTCAACAATATTTTAACAATGTTTAATATTATCTATAGGTTTTAACTTCCAGCCAGAATGAATCAGAGTTTTTAATTTGTGTAATTTGTATTTTTTGTATTTGTATTGGGCACGATGTTGTCTATTTATGTTTATTTATGTAAGCCGTCCTGAGGCATTAAGCAATGGGACGGCATATAAAAACTCCAGATAAATAAATAAATATAAAAACTGGGTGAGATCGCTTGACACCTCAGCGGACAGAAACAAGTTTCAAGCTGATCCCAAATGGTTGAAGCACTGGGCTGAAAACAGCAGAACGAAAACACCCGGTGGCCCCCGCCTTTTCTTGGGAAATGGCCCAGCGGTGTTATAGAGGGAGGGCTCCCAATGAAAAGCTATTTTTAGCCCGTCGAGGATCAAGCTGCCAAGCCACCGTGATTTCTGGGGGGATGCTGCAGCATCCCTCTTGAGATGGGTGGCACTCTCCATAGGTTTTGGTCCAAGTTTTGCTTCCATGGATGGACCTCCAGTTTACAGGGACTATTTGGGCAGCTGTCTGGATATAAACTGAACAGTCAAAGGTTCTGACGGCTCTTTATCTTTGAACTGGATTTGAACAGGACAGCCCCACAAATCTAGGGCACCTTTAAGTAGAGGACTGAGGACAGTGAGTGGCCACCCTTCAAGCACGCCAGGCTAGCTAGTGGCCATGGCTACATCCTGAGGATGTTAATTCCTGGTTCCATATTTTATTTGAGGTGCTAGTTGGAAGTCTGAAAGACCTCCACTGTCTGGAGGGCACCTACAGGAGAGCATGGTTCTTTACGCGCCCATCTGCGGGTCTGGACAGGCGAAAAGGTCCTTTTGAAGGCAACCTCCTCCACAGAGGCCTGCCCGCTGGGTACCCCGGAAGAGTTTGTCCCACGTGGCACCCTCTCGAGCCACAGTCGGCTCCCACGCGAGATGCAGCTTTTTGACATCACCTTTTAAAAGGTGCGGTTCTTCATGTTTGCCTGGCCTATTCTTGCTTTTACTGTTGCGAGTTGTGTTGGCTTTCAGTGGTCATACTTCACCCTGATGGCTTAGAAGCACATCTGATGCCCTAATGTTGAAAAAAGAACTATTGCTCATCGCTCTGTCAACGCTGAGCAGGTAAATTGCCACATGGATCCGATACAAGAAGCACAGCAGTGAATCTCTTGATGTTGAAGATATGCCCAAGGGCTGGTCGGGCTGGTCCTTGCCCAAGGCATACACACTGTTGACAACTTGATGGTTCATCCCTGCACTGCTAAGAGTTCGGTTCGTCCCCTTGCAAGGAAGACAAACTGGTTGGACAAGTGGATTTGTGTCGCAGGTGGGTCTATTCATGCGGGTGTATCTTGGAGGTATAACTGCTTTTTAGAAGGCAGCAGAATACAAGCAGAAGGTTCTCTAGGAGGTCTACATGGGGCGATCCGGAGGCAGAGATGACTTTGAGTGGGTCTACACAGATCAACCCCACACTGAGAGGAGGAAGGAGATCTTAGGTGAGTCTACAGCAAGCCAGTTCTGCCAAGGGTTCTTGGGCAAAGATGCTGGGTTGATAGGACCAGAAAAATTCAGAAGAAAGAGGAGGAATCAGAGCACAGTGGGGAGGAAAATGGACCTGTGGTGAAATGATGGAGGCAAAACCGGTCAGAACCAGAGATAGAAGAAGGCAGAATAAGCATGGACAGAATTTCAGGTGTCCAAAATCCAAAGAACGAAGAGCAAAGGAAACCCAGGGAATTTGTGGACACAGGGCACAGCCCTAAACTTCACTAGCTTGGAAGCAGGTGCAATCAGCGAGGAGGCTCTGCAATGGACCAGAACAGTTAAACCTGAAACCAGAAGATCCCATGGATAGAAAGGGGAGGGGACCTGAAGGCCAGGAATGTGTTTTAATATAGCACCGAGTTTTTGCAGATTTGTGAGCTGAACAAATTGTCCCTCGCCCCCGATTCTTGCAGCCTTCAGAAATGGTTTCCTTGTGTGTTTCCCCGTTTCCTAGCAGGGGAGGTGCAGAACAGCAACCAGCTCAAAACACACAGCACATGGGGGTCCGGAGGAGCAAAGCATGTGAGATCAGCCCGTGATCATCAGAGTCCTAGCCATGCTGCAGGAGATCTGGGGGGGGGGGGACCTCTCTGCTCGCAGGGCATCGTGCAAGCCACCCCCAGAGGACACAGAAGCCCAGAGTCCCTGTGCAGCCAAGAACATTCCCTCTCCCACCAGAGTGCGCCTGTCCACCATGGGTGGGTTTCCATTTTGGGAGACGGGGCCACGTCCAAAGGCTTCTCCCACCACCCCCGCCACGTACGACTCCCAAATGCCTCACCATCTAAATTTGCGGTGGGGAGAACTTGAAAGGGGGGGGGGGAACAGGGCGTGAGAGCTAGCAGAGGAAGGATGATCTTTATTCAAGGGTCCTTCCAGGGAGGGAGCAGGTTTTCTGGGGCAAAGAAAAATGAAAGAGGCGGTGGGAAAACAGAAGAAGGTGGGAGCAAAAATGTCGGACGCCTCCACAGAAATTCTGGGCATCGATGGTGCAAAGGCAGCCCCAGTGGGAAGAGCCCTGAATTGCCGTGCAGTCGGGGCACAAATGCCTGTGACAAAGGCGGATTTCCTGCAGAGATGCAAAAGGGGTGACCTCCACCGGTGTTTGCTCTTCCTTTGACGGATGTATCGGTAGACCAATTAAACCGAGCTTTTAAATATTTATTATTTAAAACATTTACAGTATATTCTGTCCTTTACAACAATGTCTCAGGGCACAGCATTGAAAATAGTAAGTCACATTGTTCATGGGAGCTCAATCTTACGTCTAGTTAACGTGGGAGCCAGGCAGCTCTGGAGGATTCAGTCGGCGAAGGCGAAGGCACAGGGGTGGTCTGACGGTACCTGCGTCCTGGACTCACAGGACTCCAGGACAGGCTGGATGTGCACATGGTGGGCATGTCGTGAGCGGAGCCGGCTGGCGCCGGAGGTCAGACTAGATGGCCCGGGAGGCCCCTTCTGACTCACTCTGTTTCTATGACTTGGTGGCCCGTGGGGCATGTTCCAGGGAGCAGGTGGGGCGACAGAAACTGGTTTCGGGCTAGAACTGTGGCCAAAGCCAAGCGCTCCTAAGGAGCCACCGGAAGAGCTTGCCGGATCGGGAGGGCCGATGGCTGCTGGTCTCGGTGGCCGACAGGTGGGAGCCTCACACGCAGGACGCGCTGCCGCGGGGGTCCGCCAGCAATCCGTATTCAGAGCATCCCACCTCTGACACGGCCAGCCTCCGCCTCCCTGGCGCCCTCCAGTCTGCCAGCCCCTGCGGGGTGCAGCCTGTGCATGTTCGGGCAGCCCTGCTCCCGGGTGCCACTTGCAAGAGGCTGGCTTTTATTTATTTATTCATTTATTAAAACATTTCTATGCTGCCCCTTGCCGAAGCCTCGGGGTGGCTTACAAAACAATAAAATACAATAAAATACAAAAATAACAATATAAAATTAAAATTAACAACATAAAATAAATAAACAATATAAAAGAAGCCGCCCTGCCTGGGCTTTTCCCCTGCCTGGGCTTGCACTGGACTGCGCCTGCAGCTGGCTGCCCTCTGCAGGGGCGAGGGCCGCGGTGTGGGCACACATCACGTGAAGGAAGGTCTCCCCGGACTGTGCTGAATTTCTTCACCTTCGGCATCTCTGGATGACCTCTAGTGTGAGGCGAGAGAGAGGGAGAGAGCGTGGGAGGGAGAGACTTTTCCCTATGCCCCCGTTTTCCACACCAGGCGCAATTTCATGCAACAATTTCAGCTGGTGCCTCTTTCCTGTTTCCCCACCACAGCCAAATATCCTGAGATCAAGAAGCTGATGGGCCCTGATCCCCGCATGAAGTGGGTGGTGAGCCTCATGGTGCTCACGCAGCTGGTGGCCTGCTACCTGGTGAAGGACCTGTCCTGGAAGTGGCTTTTCTTCTGGGCCTACGCCTTCGGGGGCTGCGTCAACCACTCCATGACGCTGGCCATCCACGACATCGCCCACAACGTGGCCTTCGGCAACAAGATGGCCAAGTGGAACCGCTACTTCGGGATGTTCGCTAACCTGCCCATCGGCTTTCCGTACGCCACCTCCTTCAAGAAGTACCACATCGACCACCACCGCTACCTGGCCGGGGACAAGCTGGACCCCGACTTGCCCACCGAGCTCGAGGGCCGCTTCTTCAACAGCCCTCTGCGGAAAGTCGTCTGGCTTGTCCTGCAGCCCCTCTTCTACATCACGCGGCCTCTGCTCGCCAACCCCAAGCCGGTCTCCCAGATGGAGCTCGTGAACGTGGCCGTCCAGCTGGCCTACAACTTCCTCATCTACAGCCTCTGGGGAGCCAAGCCGCTCGTCTACATGATCGGCGGGACCGTCTTGGCCACGGGCCTCCACCCCATCTCCGGGCACTTCCTCGCGGAGCACTACATGTACGCCAGAGGCCACGACACCGTCTCCTACTACGGGCCCCTGAACTGGATCACCTTCAACGTGGGCTACCACATGGAGCACCACGACTTCCCCAGCATCCCGGGGAGCAAGCTGCCACTGGTAAGGCCCAGCGGCGCCCGCGGCTGCCACACGAAGGGGTGGGTGGTTTTGCTCCAGCTGCACGGTCCCGCCTGCTCGGGAGCCTGGCAAAGACACCCAAGAACAGCCCAAGTTTCTAGATTAAGGCTAGAGGTTAAACAAGCCGGAGTTCACAACCCACCTTCACAGACTCTTTCCGGGTGGCTTGTGAATGAAGCGAGGCTTGTTAGAGTGACCGGCTCTGCACCTTGTGGCGGCCCAGGAGTCAACGACCGGCAGGTGGGCCTGCACGTGGTTAGCGCCCGCTTCGCTTCGCTTCGCTTCGGGGGGACCCAGGCCTCCGCAAGGAGGAGTGCGCAGACCCGTGAGCACAAAGGAGGGCGTTTGCTCTCCGCTCTTTGCTGCCCAAACGGGGAACGAGACACAGCCTCTCCCCTTCCGGGCACAGAGCCGACGGAGCAGGCCGGCCAATCGCTCTTCCCCCCGAGCTGTGGCGCATGGTCCTCCGCCGCAGCAATGCCTGCAGTGCGGAGAAGGCCGTGGGGCAGGCAGCACTCCCTCCCAACGCCTCGCCGCCCCCTCCCTTAAGCCCCCTCCTGTGAGGCTGCCCCACTGCCCCACGGATGGGCTGGGCCTGCTCCTCCTGGCACAACTCCACTGGGCGGCCCCCGCCGTTGGCACACACCTCTGGGAACCCCCTTTGACGCGTGCCTGAATGGCGGGCTGATCTCCGTGCCGCTCGCCCAGGGGAGCCCGCGTTCGGGTTTCTCGGGGGCGCTGGGCTGCTCCTCCCACCCGTGAGCGCCGGCTGTCCTGGGCCGGGCGTCAGCAATTATTCGAAGCGTCTTTATTCCACGCAGCCACAAAGTATTCCCAGACTCTGAAAGACGCGCTCCAGGTGGAACGTTGACCCCTCACTCTGCCCACGAGCCCTTCGGGGCCGGTCTCTGGAGGGGGTGCGCGATGAAAGCGGGCACGGCGACGCTCTTCCCACTGAGCCCCTAAGTGGTCCAGCCGGCAAGTGCGCTGACGGGCCCCTGCGACCACGTCTCCCCGAGCGGCCAGTTCTCCTCCCGAGACCCCCCCCCGCCCGTTTCCCACCATCAGGAGTGGGAGGGGCTCAGTGGTTGCCCTGGAAGCACTTTGATCCAGGGCTGGCTCCCCGGGAGGGTTTGGGCAGCCGGGGCCTCGCCCGTCGCTGCAACTCCCGTATCAGAGTGAGAACTCCGAGCTGCGGCTGGTCCCTCTATCCACTCCCTGCTCCGAGTCTGAGCCGCCATTCCCACCACAGTCCTCCGCTGGCGGCAGTGGGACTCCCAAACCGCTCCCAGTGCCTTGAGGAAGAGACGGGTGAGGAGCCCGCTGGGAAAGGACTACACAACCCACTGCGTCATTCTGCAAAAGAGACAAAAGGCCAGTCAAGAAAGGAAAGGGGTAACAGCTTGCAACGACCGAAGGTGATGCGTGATGGTCGTGAATTTCGTGTTGTGCAGGATGGAAAAATATGTAAGTCGCGATGACTCAGAATCACCAAGTGCGCTTTCTTTCTGGTGCCAAGATTAAAGATAGGAGCTACAAGCTCAGGGGCTCATAGGACCCACTGACAGACACCCCTTCCTTCTCTTCCATGTGGGAACTCATGACACTGCCAGGAGAAGCTTTGAGGAAATGCGGGAGACACGAGATCCCGCTGCGAGTACCTCAAGGGCTGTCACAAAGAGGAAGGTCAAGATCTCTTCTTGCTGGTAGCAGAGTGTAGGATGTGGGCTATTCAGGTCAAGCTGCAACAACCCAGATTCAGGCTGAATATCAGGAGAGGCTTCCTCCCTGTCAGAGCAAGACGGCAGTGGGACCAGCTGCCCGGAGGGGTGGGGGGCTTTCCCCCCCTGGAGGTATTCAAGGCGAAACTGGGCGGCCCTCTGAGTGGGAGGGTGTGACTGGGTGTCCTGCAACAGCAGGGGTGGACTGGATGGCCTTCATGGCCCCTCCCAGCTCTACTCTTCTAGGGTTCTATGATTCAGGCTCCGTTCCACAGAAGATTACTCCTGGATCCTGGCCCGGCCTTTTCAACTGTTTTTCCACCACTGGGTGGGTTTTGTTTATTCACCAGTAGGTAGGTGGTTTCTGGCATGCCTGGGTGGGGACTGCACATGCCTCAACCCGCACCTGTTGGATACACACCCATGGCGTGGTTTGCGCCGCTGCAACCAGCAGGTAGACCAGCTGTGTGGCCTGTGCTGTGCTCTGGCCGGTGGTGGGGTGGCCCTTCCTGAAAAGCTGGTGCAGCTTCCTCGGGGGCCCCATCCACACAACCAGGTGCCATCCATGGATCTTAGGCAGAGGAAAGGGCTCAGAAGAGGAGCTGGAAAAGCTCTGTTAGGTGCCAGCCGGGAGGATGGTAGCGTAGCAGGTAGGGCCCGGATGGAGATGGCCTGGAGTTGCCAGGGGTGTGTGTGGGGGGGCTTCTTCATGCAAAGCGGGTGCTCTGGCCTGGAGCTGCAGCCTCTTTCTGGGAGATGTGGCCCAGGCCAGACGGGCAGCACAGAGCAGCCACCGCAGAGACTCTCCTTGCGGTCTCGAAAAAGCAGTTTAGACCAGCTGGTCTGCATGGCTGCCCCGGTCCTCATCCCGCAAGCACTTGCAAAGAGGGCCAGGGTGGCTTCTCTATCGGGCCACCAGATCTGTGCATCACTCCACAGTTCCTGACGTCGGCAGATGGTTGAGGGGCTGCAGTTCCCTTAGAGAGTCACTGGTACTCTGAGCGCAGCATTGAGTCCGAGCGGCAGATGGAGTCCGTACAGCCCAAGGCCCCAAATGTAAAAAGAGTAAAGCCTGGAACAGAGGGGCATCCCAGGTCGCCCCGACTGCTTTGCGGGGCAGTAGATCAAAGAGGCCACGCCAGGACTGGCGGAGAGTTGCAGCCCCACGCCTCTGAAGGCTGCATGGTTAGAAGTGCTGTTTTGGCTCTTAAAAATACGAGAAAGGAACAATCATGTTATCTGCCTGGGATTACGCAGCAGGCACTTGGAACAGTGAAATGTCCACATCCATTGCAGAGCGATCGTCATCTGCAAGGGGCTGGGTTCCTGTTCCAGTGCATCCCAGTCTCCTGCTGCCCCCACACGTGGTGGCCGGGTAAGTCCAGGGGCTCCGGACGTCTTGCCACGTGCCTGACTTCCTGTGGCGTCTCTCTCTAGGTGAAGACGATCGCCTCGGAATATTACGACAACCTTCCCTACCACAGCTCCTGGTTCCTTGTCCTCTGGGACTTCGTTTTCAAGGAGGAGCTGGGGCCCTTCGCCCGCGTGAAGCGGACCTACAAGGCGAACCCCCCCGGCGGGGCAGTCATGCGTTGAGGGCGCCCCACTGCCCTGCTCGCAGACGCCAATTGGACGGAGCTTTAAAAAAGAGAAGCAAGGAGTCCGAGAGAAGCTCAGCCAAGCCGGCAGGGAGTCAAAGGCCCAAATGGGCTGCAGCACAATCCGGTGCTTTTCTGCTTATAGGCCATGCACTCTAGCTAGATGCTGCTTTTGGGGTACACCAGGGGCCCCCCAGATCCCACGGCAGGTGCTTTTTCATCCTCCCTGAGGTCCAGTTGCATCCAGTGCAATTCTTCCTATGCTCTGCTGGCTGGCTGGCGGGGATCCATCTTTGGAGTCAATTAATTAGAGGAGATTTAGCTGCTTGATTAATTCTGTTTGCTTGTGCATATGATGGGGGATCCCCACAGAGTTCTGAGGGTAAAGGGAATGTCCGGGGTTGGGCGGGCGACCGGGGTACACGTGGCAGCTTCTTGCAGCAGGGGCCCGTGCCTTTGCTCAAACACAGGGAGGGTACAATTCTTCTAAGACGGAACTTTATATAAGTAGCTGAATTAAAAGTTGGGCTGAAAAAGCCACATTACCGTCCGATGAATCTGAACCATTGATTTCTTTTGTTCAACTCGTCAATCCAGTGGATCAAATGCAGCATTTCAGGCTTTCTGAGCACCTCCCCCTATAAATAAATTTGAGAAGCAATAGTCGAACTGGTCATTGGCCCTGCTACCTGGGGATGATAGGAGCTGTAGTCCAAACACTTTCAGGGGTCTCCAGATCAGGGGAAACGGGGATCATCTGACAGGTGGGTCGGTGGTGCCTTCTAGTGGCTATTTCTTAAACTGCACAAATTCCACAGCGTCTCTAAAAGGCGATGGATCCCAGTCCGGCGAGGCTTCTGAAGATCCTTGTTCCACTGGGATCCACGGGGCATGTGGACGAGAGGAGAGGAGAGGAGAGCAGAGGCTACTCCAGAGCGTCACAGAGCAGCAGCCTGGCTTCAGAGAGTTTGGGGATTCCAGAATGGAGGCATTCGGGATGCCTTTAAATGCATTAATGGGGCCCCACGGAAGGTTCAGGAACGGTGATCTGCTTGGCTTCAAGGTAAAGCCAACCCCGGTTGCCCTTCATCCATCAGCTGCGTGCATTCTTGACGCAGCCAGCCGAGATGGTTCGCGCGGTGCGGAAAACTTTTCCCCGGAGCTACTCCGCTTCCCTTGTGTCACCGCTGTCGGATCAACTCCTCCTCCCCCTCCGCCTCCCATGTCTTGCAATCCCAGAATCACCAACTGTTTCTAGACGAGCGATTTATTGTGCCCTCAAGATTGTTTGCAGGTCCCTCAGACAAGGCATGGCCCTTTAATTTTCTTTCTGGTGAAAACAGCACGTCCGGACCCCCTTCTCCCTCTTGTTACACGCGGGAAACGCAGCATTGCTTAAACGTTGCGCTGGAGGAAGCGGCAGGTCCCGCAATGGGCGCGGTGCTGCTACCCCACAGCGCCGCCTGGAGGCGATGCTGCGGAAAAGCAGGGTAGCCAATCCCTCCTGATGCCGCTTGAAATAATTAAAGAGAGTGCTTTTTTTATTTAAAAAAAAAAAAAAAAAGGTGCCGGAACTCTTGTCTTCGAGTCACACTTTTACACTAAAAAAGATGTTCAATTCACCCACTTTTTTTGAAATAAAGAAAAAGTTTATTTACCTTTTGCACGTAGCCAGTCACTCTACACACACATAAGCACAATGGTCGCCGCCGGCAGCAAACGCTCAGCGCACGACCACACGACCGCTCCCAAGCCGAGCAGCATCCCAGGCCGAGCAGCGCCCTCACAATCAGCGTGGGCACACAAGCAGAACACGCACTATTTTAATGATTTTTGCTGCTGACCTGCTACGCCCAACAGGCAATTCACAATCACTTGGAAAAATCCATTGGAAAAATCCGTCAAAAAAAGGTGCCGGAACGCCATTCCAGTGCGTTCTATGACAAAAAAAAAGCCGATTAAAAATATAAACACATCAAGCTTGAGTCAATAAATATCTCTTACATATTGATGACATTTCAAGAGGACCAAAACAGCAGCATCCACACAAACTTGCCAGGGTAGGGAACACTGATTATCAGTGTAAAATAAAAAATATCATCTTTGATCATGTTTGCAAGGACTATTTTGTCCCTTTGCTTATGTCATGTACAGCGTACGCAGCCCATTCCACATCGATCCTCTTGGCAGAGCATGGCTTTCGCCCCAGCCCAGGACTGCCAATTTGCACGATCTTGTGATTACAGAAGGTTCTTCACCTGCAGTTGGAATCCACCCAAGGGAAGGCTGAGGAATGCAGAGCTGCCTAGGTGGGGGTCCAGCAAACAGCAACCAGGAGAATGCGGCAGACGAGGTCAAGATCACGGCAGGATCAGGGCTCAAATGACCGGTGGGGCCTGCATTGCAAGAAGCAAGTTGAGTGGGTCTGCAGCTTCCCAGGCTGGGCTGGCCCAGGGGGCTCTGCTGTTCGGCCATTTAGAGGAGGAAGGTAGGCCTGGCGCGGGAGCTGCGTTGCTTGACTGCTGGGGAGTTTGTCCTGCACTTGCAACTTGTACAGCCTGCATCCTTGTAAATAAACTCAAACATTATAAAATGGCAAGAAGCCTCCACTGACTAATTTCCAAAGGAGATCAACATGCAAGCCCTGGACTTCTCGGAGAATCATGGCTGCTTGTTAAGTTTAATTCATAGACGAGTGAATATCTACTGTTCAACAGGAAGCATGCTTTTTTCTGAAAGAGCCACATAGTGTTTTCTCGTGCATACGTGGTGAAAGGCATAGAAGCCTTCTAAATAAATAAATAAAGCTGTCAGGTGCATCACTTTTGTGGTAATTTGTGTGGACAAAATGTTAGTATTTCAACCTGGAAACACCAGTTCAAAAATATTGGCCGTCTGCTGGCATTTCGGTGCGGAATACACTTTTGCTGGCTGGCTGGCTGGCTGGCAATATTATTCCTATCTTGACACAAATCTGCCCTGGCCAGTGTTGATGCAGGGCGTGAACTGAGCCTGCAAGTGCATCTGTAGGTAAAATTCTGTAATCCCCAACAGTTTCCAACCCCCGGGTTTCGAAGGAAAGAATTTCACGAGAGTGGGCTACGGGAATCCAGATGGCACCCAATAATGCACAGTGAAGACTGCAATCCTATGCATGGTTTGACAGAAACGATGCTGGAAATCATGGGACTTTTTCTGTCGAGCCATGCACAGGATCACCCCTTAATTGTGCATGGCAAAGTACCATTCCCTAATGTTGCAGCCACATTCTATGCACATTCCATGCATCATGAGGCATATTTATTAAAACATTTTTATGCTTTAATTCCAAGGTAATTGTGCATAGACTTGCCACGTTCTTCTATGGCCTTGCCCCCCCACCCCACATCTTTCCACACTTATTTCCCAACGCACTGAAAGCTGCCCTGAACCAGACCAGAGGCCCCTCATTGTTCGTGTTTGACTGGAAGGTTGGTGCAGGGGTGACCGAGGTGCAGCACCCGTGTCCCGGTGTCCACAACCCAAAGCAGCCCCTTGATCGCGTCCCAAGTCCGCATGGCCTCCGCTTTCTGTGAATAAAGCCCCCCTCTGCAGGGAGAACAAAGCCGTTTTCCTTGCTGGAACTGCTCGTTTCCCAGGAAGGGGAAGCAGCCAGGCTGCATCCTGCCACTCCGGGCCGTAGCGGAAGAAAGGAATCCGATGGCAGGCATGGCCAGAGGTCCCGTCTTTGGTTCTCAGCCTGGAGGGAGGACCGATGCCGGCTTGCCCAGGCACCTCCGAAGGCTCAGCGAGCACCCACAGGCCCCGGGGCAGGGGCGTGCAAGCTTCACTGGGTTATTGACCCTCTGCATCCAGATTCCATCCTTCTGTTCAATCAGTTGTACATCGTTTTTGACACAAACGGCTTTACGCCTTCCCATGTATCCTTGAACCTAAAGCAGGGTGCCCGGCTCGCCCAGGCCCTCGTGGCCAGAGCCCCGCTCCGTATCGTCTTCCTGGCGGGTCTGCCCGGCACTCCCGGAGGCGCCAGGGAGCCCCAGGGCACGGGCTCCGGTCCCCTCTGTCCCTCCTTGGGACCTCCGCTTCTCCAGTGGCGCCACTTCGGATCGGGCGAGGGCCTCCTGCCACTGCCCAGGCTGCTCTTCCCTCCGCAGAGCGAAGAGGGGGCTCTGCCGCACGGAGCTCGGAGCCCACCTGGCGCAGCCGTGGGGTCGCGCAGTGGCCGGTCCGCGGAAACGGGCCCTGGGAGACCGGGGAGCGCAGCCGCGCGCGGACCGCCTCCGGCGCCGGAGCCACTGGACCCGCAGCCGCGGACCGCCGCCTCTTCGCGCATTCGCCACCCGCAGGTCGGGGCCACGGGGCCATCAGCGTAGCCCAGTCGTGCGCGAAGCGGACCGTCCCCGGTGCCCTTCGGTTCCACCCCCGTTCTCTCCTCCCTCCCGCTCCCCCCGGAGCCCACCCTGCACGACGCTTCGCAGATGCGCTGCTGCCACGGACCGCTTCCCCCCCTTCCCCCCGGCTCTGCCTTGGCGGCGGCCCCGCGCTCGGCCGGCGCCTTCCCACGGGCGGCACGGGCGCGGGACTGTCCCGGCTGCGGGTCGCTTGGCCGTGCAGCTGCTCCTCCGCGCACGGCCAGTCCCAGTGCACGTGCCGAAAGGCGGGCCCAGCAGGAGCAACTGCGCCACTCCGACCGCCGCCTCCGCCCGTCCCGGCGCGCAGCGTCGCGCCCCGCCATTGGCCCGGCCGCTCGCCGCGGCAGTGTCCCACCGCCCTATTGGCGGCCCGCCCGCCGCGCGAGCACCGCGGCCCCCGGGCGGCTCGCCGCGCACCCCGCTCCCCGCGGCGCGGATTGGCGGGGAAGGGCCGGGGGCGGGCCGAGTGGCGAGCCGCGCGCGGCGGTTGGCCGGCGGCGG